TTGGGAAGACCTTTGAAAATAATCCTGGCCAGTTGCTAGGTCCTATTTCACAGAGTGTGCTGTGGGTCGGGGCTGATCAGAAGGCTCTCTGCCCTGGCAGGCCCTTGCCTAAATGTTTCCAAGGACTTTAGCTTTCGACCGCTGTAGATACATAGAAATTACGCCTGAGGCACCTTTGGGTTAGGGGCTTGAACTCTTCTTAAACTTGACCCAGATCTGGGGCTGCTGAAGTGTCTTGACTTCTTTTATTCTTGCTGAAAAGCTCATTCGTTCTAGTGATTTCCTCACAGGAATCCAAGTACTGACATCTCAGGAAACTCAGGTTGAGAGAGGCAATGAGCTATAGTGGAAAGTATATAGGACTGGGAGCCAGGGGGCTTTGGCTTCCAATATGAGCCTAGCTGTGTGACCTTGGGTCAGTCCCTTCCCTTTCTCTGAGTCTATTTCTTTTCTTATCTGCAAAATGAAGGGTTTGGGCCAACTGATCTCTAAGGTCTCATCTGCTCCAACATTCTGTGATTCTTTTTTAGATACTTGAAGGATCTGCGAAGGCTTGAAGGCCCGTCTGCATGGGCCTGCCTTTCAAGGATGCCTTGGTCCAGTGTTGTTCAGTTGGTCAGTCGTGTGTGATATCATATTACTTGCCTTCTCAATGGATTGGAGAGAGGCTGTTTGGAACTCAAAATTTAAAAAAAAGATCCTCAAACAGGCCTCACCCATTTATAACCAGCTTAGCCCTGGAACTCCATTGAATTTGACCCATGACCATCAGGTAGGGCCCCTCCCCACTCCGGTACTGGACACATGTCCTGAACCCCCTTGCCACTTCCTGCTCAGGGATTGATAATCCAGTCGACATTGCCAATACCCTGGTGAAGAGGATGACAGTCTTCTGCCTATACTTTTGATCTTGGGCTTTCCCAGCCAAAGCTTCCTTCTCTAGACTCTATTCCCTGTTCCTTCATGCCTATCCATGTCAACCTCATCCCTCCGTGGTCTCTATGCCACTCACACACCCCTCCTTTGATTGTAAACAAATGGATGGCCCTTCATATCAGGGTCACGCAGTTGAGAAGTGTTTGAGCTGAGGTTGAACTCAGGAAGATGAGTCTTTCTGACTCCAGACCCTGTGCCTTATCCACTATAGCACCACTTAGCTGCACCAGCACCTCCCCCCATCAGTAGTATTAAGCACAGTAGGTGCTCAATAAATGCTTGTGGAATTGAATTATGGGGGAAGGATGAATGACTCTCTTAGTGGAGAGAATGTGGCATTACTAGAGTTAGAAAGAAAACAGAGGGCACAGAAGGGCATCTCCAGATATGGCTCTCTTCACTTTGGCTGGGCCCTCCCTTCTGTCCCTTCTGGACAAGCTAGATGTGGCCTTTGTCCCTTCTTGACCACTCTTTTACTTTTCCCAAGTCAGGCCCTTCCTTAGTGACCAGGAAGCCGTGTAGAACATCTCCTCTGCTGTTGGGTAACCAAGCTCCATGGGACCTGAGAGTCTGGCCTCTTCTCACTTGGGCCAGAGGCCACTGCTGCTTCCCCTGACCCAACCTTGAGATGGGTACTCCCTCAACAGCCTCCATACTCAAGGCAACTTTGTTAGAAGGTGCTCAGGTCTCAGAGGCTTTGTGCTGAGGAGGACCCTGTCTGTACTGAGGAGTACAACCTGGAGGAGTGACTGGTACCCGGCCAGTACCTGCTTTAAGGCCTGTGTCTAGTCCTGCCTCTTAGGGTCTTAAGACCCAGGAGAATATCTGGAGCTGACTCTAGGTCTTTGAGCTCTGGCAAAAGGTATCCCAGGGCCACATTGGCAGACCCATGGCAAATCCAAAGCATGCTATGCTTTTCCTCATCCCCACCAGCTGGGCCATGGTAAGACCTTTCGTCAAGGCCTCTAAGCCAGAGCTATGATCCCTGGCTTGCTACAGCATCTTGCTCCCCTGGCAGATAGAGGCCTTTGGGGCTGATCCTCCTCACCTCCCTACCCAGCCCCTAAGGAATACAGCCAAGCCTCTTTTTTAGTCAAATGGAAATATGGAAAAACCAATCTTCCTCTAGCCTAAAGCTCTTTCCGGACTGACCCAAAAGATAAAAACTTTATCAAACTTCTCAGGCAACCACACTCTGCAAAACTCCTTTCCCTTCTTTATTTTCAGCCTAACCCCCCCCCCCTTTTTTTTTTGAAAGTATATTAAGAAGGTAAGCTAAAATGAGCACTTGCCTCCCAGGGTCATTGTGAGTATCAAATGAGTAAATACGAAATCGGAAGATGCCTGGTGCATAGTAGTAGCTTCATAAATGTTTGTTTCCTCCTTCCCTAAGGCCCCAGAAAATGCATTAAAGGTGGTAATTAGCCTTAGAGAAATATCTCAGGTCTAGTTAGAAGCATTGCTCTCCACCAGGTTCTGAAAACACATTAGGGTTAATGACCCAGCTAAATGAAGGAGGAACTTGGGGGAGAGGCTGGGTAGGTGGGGAAGGTGGGGAAAAGCCTTTGAGGGTAGTGATTTTCCAACATCAAGTTCTGGATGGATAAATCATAGTGATCACTTTCACCTTTCCTTGGGCTTAGTAACATTAAAAAAAATCACTTTAGGAAAATTTCCTTTTTCAAGAATCCTAAAAACGTGACTTCAAAATGTCTTGTAGGGAGAGCTATGTCTGAGGGCATGAGGGGACTCTGTTGGCTTGGACATTCTCTCTCCAGGCAAATGATGCTTGAATCTAGATTAAAGAGAAATTCATATAAATTGTGTCCGCCCAACTTGTGCCAACAACCAGGGTGTGATAGTTAATATTTTTCTTCAACACTGAATGTGTGTCCCTGATCTCTTAAAGGGGCCACCCCAGGGTGACTCAATCTTTAATCAACCAGTTGAGTAGTCTACTGGAAAGACTACTGGATTTGGACTCTCACACACCTTGGGTTTTGATCTGTGGTCTGCTATTTCTTAGTGTTGTGACCTCAGGCAAGTCCCTCGAACCCTCTGGGCTATGTGGAAGCTGAGAAGCTGGGTGAGATGGTGGCCTCATGGCTTCCTCTAAGCTCTTAAATTTCTGCTCATGTATCTGGCCCCACTATATTTAGTCAGTTCTGCCTTTACTGGCCCTGGTTGTCCTTTTTTGTGGCTGTCATGCTGATGAGCAGGAGAGAGGAGCAGAGCTTGTGGGAGCTGACCAAAGTCACAACTGTATTACCTTGGATAACCCCACCCCCTGCTTACTACCCATGTGACCTTGGATAAGTCCTTTCCCTTCCTTGGGCCTCAGTTTCCTCTTCTGTCAAATGAGGGGTTGGTGTAGATTAGGGGTGGGGAAACCTGCAGCCTCAAGGCCACATGTGGCCCTCTAGATCCTCAAGTGTGGCCCTTTGACTGAATCCAAACTGCACAGAGCAAATCTCCTTAATTAAAAGGATTTGTTCTGTAAAACTTGCCGTACTCAAGGACACAGAAGGCCTTGAGTCTGCAGGTTCCATACCTCTGGCCTAGATGATCTCTTAGGCTTCTTCCAGCTCTAGAATCCTATGAGTGACCTTGGGCAAATCCCTTCCCCTTTCCAGGCCTCAGTTTCCTCCTCTGTAAAAGGAGGAGGTTGGACTCAATGGCCTTTGAAGTTCCTTGACAGCTCTAGGATCCTATAGGTGACCTGAGACAAGTCCCTTCCCCTCTCTGGGCCTCAGTTTCCTCCTCTGTAATAGTTAGCATTTCTCCAGCACTTTGAGGTTTGAAAATAACTTTGCATATATTATCTCATTTGAATCTCACTACAATCCTGGGAGGTAGGTGCTGTTATCAACATTATTTGCCAGGATGAGAGAGGTGACTCTTGCCCAGGGTCACCCAGGTTGTGTTTGAGGCTGGATCTGAATTCAGGTGTCTCTGACTCTAGCCAGTGCCACTGAGCTGCCTCAGTGAATGGAGAGGCTTGGATTTGGTAGCTTCCACAGTCCTTTCCAGCTCTGACCCAGGGATCTCCTTGAGCGTCCTTCCTATTCGGAGGTCCCATGATTACATACACATATTACTATATAGTGTAAGGCATCTAGTGCATTACTCTGCCACCATGCAGTAGCAGAGCCCATGGTTTTTTTTTTTTTCAGACTGCCAGTGTTGGGAATTGCCCACCTTCTCTTGGGCACCCATTTTGGTCTCACAGAAACCATGGTCTAGATATTCCTTTCATGTAACCTTAAACATCTGCTTGTGTGATCTGAGCACTGGGAAGGTCAAAGGTAGCTTTTGCTCCCTTCCCTGATGAAAGGAAAGGTGAATGGGGGCGAGAGGGACAGAAGCACTAGATTTGGAGTGTGGGACCAGGGTCTATTGGGGGAGGGGAACCTGCGGCCTCAAGGCCACATGTGGCCTTCTAGGTCCTTGGGGGGGGGGCTTTTGACAGATCCTTAAAATCCTTTTATTAAGGAGGTTTGTTCTGTGAAGTTCAGATTCAGTCAAAGGGCTACACTTGAGGACCTAGAAGACTACATGTGGCTTTTTAGGTCCTCAGGTAGGGCCTTTTGACCGAGTCCAAGTTTTACAGAACAAATCCTTTTATTAAGGGGGTTTGTTCTGTGAAGTTTGGATTCAGTCAAAGGGCCACACTTGAGGACCTAGAGGGCCTCATGAGGCCTCGAGGCCATAGGTTCCCCACCCATGGTCTACATACTCATTCTGCCACTAACTTTCTGGGTGACCTGGGCTTTTTTTTTCTCCTGAAAAGTCGGGATGGGAGTAGATTATTTCCAAGGTTCCTTCCAGTTCTACTGTTCAGTTTCCAAAGTCTCTTCTGGCTTTGACATTCTGTGGTCTACATTCAAAACCCAGCCCAGGTCCATTTCTCCCCGGACTAGCTCTGCTCCCATCTGCTTGGCCCAGCGTGTCCAGTGGGAACCCACATGGCTCATCAGGCAGTTTCTGGAGATGTCGACATCTTAGCAGCTTCCCCTTCCCTCCATCCTATGAACACAATAACAGGCAAGCAATCAGAACCAGCGGAGGCATAAATAGAAAAGCTTTTATTTTGGTTAGTAGGGTACAGTGTCATTTGCACTATATGGTTCAGAGGAATTGGGCTGGGGATTTTCTTCAGCGCATGTGTTCTTTAGGCAGCTTAAAAGAATGCATATTTCAGGGAGATTTGTGGCATCCAGGGTGGTGGTGTGGAGGGGACAGGGGAGGGAGGAAGGGAAAAGTGGTTTCTTTTACCCCAAGTCAGGGGACTCTTAACCAGGTCAGACAGGTGGAAGTCTTGACAGGAGCTGATAGCCGCACTCGGCATGAGTTGGGGAGCACCCAGTGGTTTCTTGGCTGCCTACTGGAGGCAGGAATGGGTATGATGGCAGCACCACTCGAGACAAGGTGGGTGGAGGGGGCATTAGATGCGGCACCTTCTTTCCCATAGCCCTGGGGAACTTTAGCTTCCCCAGCCATGGCGCCCTCCCTTCTCCTCCCCCCACCCAACACAGCTGAGAGCTTCTGGGGCCTCTTGCAGTGAGCTTTGGAATCTCAAGGCAAGGGTCAAAAGGTGAACATTGTAATAAGAGGATCCCTAACTCCCTTCCAGTTGCTGTCCCCTCTCCTGAAGTTGACCCCCTGAAGTCATAGTGAAACCAGCCCTGGATTTCAAGCTAAAGCATCTGGGTTCAAATTCCAGCTCGATTACTTATTAGCTTTGTGACTTGAAGCAAGCTACTTTCCCTTTCTGGGTCAGTTTCTTCCTCTGTAAAGATGAAGGGGTGGCATAGATGGTTTCTAAGGTCCCTGGAAAGCCTTTGATCTTTTGGACTAAAGTGCCGCTGCCCCCCCCCCCCCCATCAGTGTCCTGATTGGGAGGAGGGGCTATCAGTGAGGCTTTTTTTTTTTTCTGGGACTCTGGGAGTAGAGCCACCAGCAGGGTAGGGTTGCCCCAGAAAATGATGGGCCATTTGCCTAGGGTTGGGGGAGGGGGGAGAGGAGAAACTAGCCTGTTAGCTTGAATGTGTAATGTTTGATTGGTGGGAGAGGTGAAGGAGCAGTGGGGTGGGGTGGGGGCCTCAGGCTCCCCAGGCTGGAGGAGGTGGCAGGACTATCCATCCAGTGGGGCTATGGGAGGCCTTGGCTGGGTCTACAAGAGACATCCCCAGGCCTCCCACAGCAGCCAGTGGGAGAGGGGCAGTGAGCCCAGGCTGGTACAAACAGCAGAGTCCTTTGAAGTGTTGGAAACGGGCTGCCAGGCTACCAATGGGGAAGATCAGAGGCAAGGAGGGGAGGGAGGCAAAGACCCTCCCCACCCCCTGGTTTGTCTGGGGGGCTGGGCAGGCAAAGCCCCTGCTCAGGCTGTGGGATGGGGGACAGAATCCAGGGAGCTTAGTTTGATATACAAGGCAGCCCTGCCCCTGGTGCCAGCTGCTTTGAGCATGGCCAAATATTGCCACTGTTGGAGGGGGTGTTTGCAGAGCTGGAAGGAGCAAAGAGGAGGGGACATTGGCCAGCTACCCAAAGCAAGCCCTCTGCAAACACCAGTCTCCAGAGTGGGAGCCCTGGGGGGAGGGCCCTGGGCTGAGGAGGGGGGGTGTTGGGGAATGGTTCCCTGAGAAACCACCATCTATCCTCCAACCTCACACCCTGGGGGGTGAGGGCAGGCATTGGGAAAGCTGATTTTCAACAACTGTGTCTTGGGCCTCCTGGTAAGTCTGAGATCCTAAAGCACTTGGGACCTGAGGTGTCTTGTCTCTCCACCCAATCTGGCAATGAATAGAGGGCCAGGTTAGCAGATGCCTCCCTAGAATCAGACAGGAATCCCTGAGAAGCCTGAGTGTTAAGGTTTCTTTGCAATTTGCCGCTCTGTCCCTCCCTCCTTTTCTTTTCTCTTTTCCCATTGGCAATCAGCTGCAGCCCGAGGCCACTGTCCCCCTTTGCCTCTTCTCCCCCCTTGGGCCTCCCAAGCAGAGTGTTGTAAATCACTGCTCAAAGGTCCCTTCAAGCACTGGAGAGCCCAGCTTTGGAGGGGAGCTCTAAGGGCCCCGACTGGCACTTCCAGCTCCTACCTATGGGGTAGAGGCAGCATCGCATGTGTGCATATAGCTACATGGACTTTTACATTCAACTATATACATTGTTGAAAGGCTAGAGTAATCATTTAAATTAAAGACAAACAGAAATATATTAGTATAATAGAAGCGTCAGACCAATGCTCCTTGGGAAGGAAATGGCTGAGTAGACGGATCCAGCAGAACCTTGGGAAGGGCCATTTGCTTAGGGATTTGTGAAGAAGTGGGCCAAGCTAGGGGGAGGGGAAGCAAGCACTCTAGGAGAGAGGTCCACCAGGGCTCAGAGGCCAGTGCTGGGGGTGAGGTGGGGGGCTGGACCCTGGGCATGGGGATGCAGGGGAGAAGGGCAACAGCCACCTTGGGGCCTGGTCTTGGGGCCAAGCCAGCAGTAAAGTGATGGATGACTCAGCTCACAGTTGTGGCCACATCACAAACCAGTAATGAACCCTAGATATGGTGGGGTGGACATCAGGGTGAAGGCCCGAGACACTTTGTTCCTTAGTTTTTCAGAAAATTTTCCCTCACTCCCAAGCCATATTACAGAAGGCCTCTTGTTACAGGAGGCCTCTTGGGGTTTTGTAAGGTTTGGACTTTTTTGGTCAATATGACGGGCTCTAGTTCTTGGCCAAAGAAGGTTGAATGCCTTCAAGGTTCTCCAGTCCTCTCTACCTCTGGAATGGGATCTTCTCCAACCTCCCTACCCCCTCTCCAGGAAAGAACACACAGGAAGTCTACCTTTAGCCTCAGTCCGCATTCCTGAAAAACAGACTTGACTTTGCCAGCTCTCCCAAGGAGCCAGTTCTGAGAAGGCTGGCTGCAATGGGCCAGATTCTTTTTTCTTTTAACACTTGCATTGCTTCCCTACCCCCTCCTCTTCTCCCTGTGTCCTCAAAGCTAACCCAGAGAAGTACATGGAATTTGAAGGTCCCAGGCTCCCTGTTTCTGTGATGGGGCTGTCCAAGAACAATTGCTCTTGGCCCTTGGAGGTCATGGGAGAGGCTGCTTTCAACAGGGGGAAATGGAGGCATGGGGAAAAAAAACCACCTGGTTGGGCAGAGCTAGACAAGAGTGCTGGCCACTTGGTTAATTTCTTGCCCTGGTTTTATACAGCAGGGATGGGAAGAGAGACCAACTTGTGTATGGCTCATGACCACCTCCCAAAGATGGCTTGGTTTACTCCTCCCATGTGGTCTTTGGTTATTTTGTCTCTAAAATGAGTTCATCTCATTTTCACTAGGAGAACTGCCCAAAGGAAAAAGAGAAAGAGAGAGAGAGAGACAGAGAGAGAGAGAGAGACAGAGAGAGAGAGAGAGATCTAGGTATGATTATTGGGTCATGGTGAGATGCTGGGGGATGGGGGAACAGAAATGTCCAAGGGAAAGAGAGAGAGGGAGATCTAGGTATGATTGTTGGGTCATGGTGAGATGCTGGGGGATGGGGGGAACAGAAACGTCCGAGGGAAAGAGAGAGGGGGAGATCTAGGTATGATTATTGGGTCATGGTGAGATGCTAGGGGATGGGGGAACAGAAATGCCCAAGGGAAAGAAAGAAAGAGAGAGAGAGAGAGAGAGAGAGAGAGAGAGAGAGAGAGAGAGAGATGTAGGCATGATTGTTGGGTCATGGTGAGATGCTGGGAGATGGGGGAACAGAAATGCCCAAGGGAAAGAGAGAAAGAGATGTAGGTATGATTGTTGGGTCATGGTGAGATGCTGGGGGATGGGGGGACAGAAATGCCCAAGGGAAAGAGAGAAAGAGATGTAGGTATGATTGTTGGGTCATGGTGAGATGCTGGGGGATAGGGGAACAGAAATGCCCAAGCAACAGCTAGACAGTCTTGACCTGGTTCCTATGCCAGGCTCTCACCAGGCCCTCCCATGTCTAAGCTCTTCGTCTTTTGGGGATCTAGCTTTTGACCAATGGAAGAGACATCACTAACAATTACTGGTCAGGCTAGTATTTCAGTTCAATTTTTCAAAATGGTGAGGGTCCAGAGGGACTAGAACCTCCTTTTGCTTCTTCAGCTCTCATATATGGAAGCAAGGGGTTTTCTAGAGCCTTCTCTCCCCTTGCCCCTCACCACCTCCCATCAAGCAGTGGAGCTGAAAGCACTGGATCTGGAGTTGGTGGACCTTGGCTTCAAATCCTAGCTTTGCCACTTACTAGCTGTGTGACTTGGGGTGAGTTACTTCCCCTCTGTCTGTCTCTGTTTTCTCATGTGTAAAGGAGAGGCTTAGACATAGTCAGCTTTGAATCTGATCAGCCTCTCACTGACCAGCATAATAAGGCAAGGTTCTGTGCTCGGTAGACGTTTGTTGAATTCAACGGCCGACCTCTGAGTAAGTCCAAGGCTGCCTTTGGCCTCACGTGCTGCCCTATGTTGTCACATTAAGTGTGAAGAGCAATCAGCTCTCACAGAGAAATTTCCAGAAATCTCAGACTGCTTGGGGTCCTCTCCTAAGAGGCCTGGCCAACATCAGAGGGTGGAAGCCGAAGGGTGGGCTCATTGATTGCCCTTTCCTTGGCAGGTGCTTGAGTGTGCCCAGCACACGTGGACATATATTTATACACACAGCCTGGTGGCATGACAGTACAAAGATCTGAATCACATAATCAGGACCGCCTGGAGGACCCAAAGGGAACTCTGGGAACAAAGTGCTAAGTACAGCTGGGGAACAGAACGGGGTCATCCATCACTTGGTAGAGCCTACGGAGTGGATGCTGGATGGGAAGGCATAAACAAGGTCAAATGAACCTGATGAAGACCACCAGCAGCATGAGGTAGCCAGGGAGAGCGGGAAGCCAGTGGAGGGGGGGGGAAGCTGAGGGGAAGCTTTGAAAACATACTGCTCTGACCTTCTCTGTTCAAGCATCTACTGTCAAATTCCACCAGGGTCTTCCTTGGTGTTGGGGACTCAGAAAGACCTTCAAGGCCTTAGGTATTCTGACTGGGGGACCTGGAGCCCTGCTACAATGGGTTGGCCCTCCACTGTGATACCTGTAAGATGGTGAAGTCTTATGGTGACCTGGCCTGGGTGTGAGTATATGATTGTGTAATGGTTGCAGGGGTGGGGGGCTGTTTAATGGATGGGTTGTGGAGGCAGTAGTCAAAAACTGTAGAAATAACAGCCTCCCTATCTGGAGTCTGGTTTGATGTATGATCTGGGCAGCAGGGTCCCCAAAGAAAGAGCAGAGACTTTACTATTGAGATTCACCCCATCCCTATTCCCTTCTTGTACAGCTCGTCCCTGGGACAGTATAGCTGTGAGAGGCACTCATGGATTGATTCTCTTGGGGGGGGGGCGGGGTGAGAAGGACATGGCGGATGCTGTAACTGAGGTGGGGAGGAGCTGGAGGAAAAAGAGTGGCCAGGAGTTACACTAGTGAGTCGGAGTAGTGGACCACAGAATTGTAGTCAGGGGGTGGGCTGTGGCATTCAAGGGCCGGATCCAGGGGTAGAAGGATGGAGTCCTCCAGGGCATAGGCCAGAGGGTCATCCTCATCCAGCTGGGCTGGCAGCTGGGGCTGCAGAGCCTCCTTCTCCTCGGATAGCAGCACAGACTCCTTGCTTCTGCTGGTTGCTCTCAGGCTGGTGAAAGAAGAGCAGAAGGTGGTTGAGTACAGAGTGGGAGGCATCGTATTTCTTATCTTGGGATGAGATGCGGGAATGAAGGCAGGGCCCAGCCATGAACACTGAGGCCTCACCCACATGAGGAGGCCCTGGAGGGCTAAACAAAGGACCAACACTGTTCCTGACAGGGGGCTTCCATCCTAGCTGGGGATCCTCAGCACTGAGTCCAGTTGTAAATGACTGGGGTAATTTACAAGGGAACCTCAGCCCAACCCCACCGCTGATGCTGGTTTGTGTCCCAAGCAGATCCTAGAAATGCATTGTTGTTCAGTTGTTTTGCAGTCATATCTGACTCTCCGTGACCCCATTTGGGGTTTTCTTGGCAAAAATACTGGAGTGGTTTGTCATTTCCTTCTCCAGATCATTTGACAGATGAAGAAACTGAGGCCAACAGGGTGAGGTGACTTGTCCAGGTTCACATAGCTAGGAAGTGTCTGAGGCCACATTTGAACTCAGGTCTTCCTGACTCCAGGCCTGGCCTGTCCACTGACTCCAGGCCTATCCACTGCAGAGCCACCTAGCTGCCCTAGCCTTAGATCAGGGGTGGGGAACTTGTAGCCTCGAGGCCACATGTGGCCTTCTAGGTCCTTGGGTGCGGCCCTTTGACTGAGTCCAAGTTTTACAGAACAAATCCTTTTCTTAAGGGGATTTGTTGTGTGAAGTTTGGATTCAGTCAAAGGGCCACACCTGAGGACCTAGAGGGCCACATGTGGCCTCAAGGCCCCGGGTTCCCTACCCCTGCCTTAGATATTATAGGTGAGAATTCCACAGTCATGGTTTCTCCCAACTCTGCCAGTCATCATCCTGAGAGGCAGTTGGAGTATGCTAGAGTGGAACATTCAGAGCCAGAAGACCTTGTCTGGAGTCTTGGTTCTACACTTTCTAGCTGTGTGATCCTGGGCAAGTCCTTCACTGTCTCTGTCTGACCTGATTCCTTCTCCTTAAAATGGGGCAAATAATTTCACTGCCAATGGTCTTGAAAGGAATGTGCAGTGTCCACTGGGCTTGCTTCATGCTTCCTGATGCCTGAGAAAGACTTACGGCATGAAGGTGGGGCTAGAGACAAGGGTGTGCTAGTAAATGTTTAACAACCAGCCCTCTGGGAGAAAAAATGTATGCATGACACTTCAAACATTATTAACATTTTTCTCCATCACTTTCTTAAGCCTAGACAATCATCAAAACAATCAGTCCAACCCTGATTGATGGCGTTTGCTGATTTCTGAGGCTTAAATGCTCACATTTAGGAAGCCTGGATGAGCTGGCTCCAGCCCCCCACCCCCCCACCCCCCATAGGGTTGGCATTCTGGTAGGGAACAAAGCTTAAAGAGATAGGGGTTTGATGGGGAGCATTTCAGGCATCTGCCAGCAGGTGGAGATTGAGTCCTTCCTCTTCCTCATATCTACCTATGGCAAGGGTGAGGCTGAAACATTCGAATTGAATGCCTTGTTTCCTGCTGTGTGAAATACAGTACTTGGACTAGATGGTCCTCAAGGGCCCTTCCAGCTGTGACATCCCCTGAACTTGACCTCCTATTGCTGTGACCACTCTTGGAAGCTGACCCCATAGTGTGGTATCTTGCTGACACGCCCCATTTTTCTTAAGATCGTCAATGGCGTTCTGGGGCTCCTTGGGCTTGCCCTGCGTGGCCCCTGGCTGCGACAGAGGGTGAAAGCACTGTGCTTGGGATCAGTCTGCTCAGATAAGTGAGGAGGGCCCTGCCACTGTCTCCTGGCCTGCTTTGTGAGGTAGCTTGGCCACAGGGCTAGCAAGCTATTAGCTGGAAAGTGTGCTATCCCTTACCTAAGTCATTTGGGACTTTTGACAGGCTGACATTTCATATCTGCTTGAGGCTAGGGTTGGCATTAACATCCCCACTGTCTTCCTTCTCCCATTCCTTGGGCATGTTCAGAATCACAGAATCTCTAAGCTGGAAGGAGCCTTTGAGATCATCCAATACTCTCTCCTCCACCTTCCTTTTTACAGAGGAGTAAACTGAGGCTCAGAGTAGGGGAAAGAACTTATCCAAGGTCACACAGGTCAGCAATAATAAAGATGAGATTTGAACCCAGGTCCTCTGATTCTTTTCCCCTTGGCTTTTCTTCTCCCTCCCCAATATGCATTAGTAATATATTTCCCCAGTTAGTGTACACTCAAACCACTTGATGTTAGGGCTCTTTCCTTGTGTCCCCTACCCCGGCATTTAACTTGGAGCTGAGCACAACTAATCTGCCATCACTGTCTTTACTGAATAGTCGGGGTTTCCAGAATGACCAGAGGTGCCAAACTTGCCATCCACCAGGTTAAAATGGCTTTGGGAAATGCTTAACAAAACAAATTCCAATCCAATCTAATCCAGATAATGTTAATGTGCAGTTTTCTGAGTCAATATGTGACCTGCAGGCCTGTTTCTCCTTGAGCTTAACCCCACTGGTGTAGATTGGCACATCTCCTGCCCAGCTGTTTGTGACATGACCTCAACATACGGAGGTTGGCAGCTTCAAATGATTTTAGCCAAGAGCTCCTATCGAACCAAGTCGAGGTCAGCTTTGTCGAAGCCCCATCAAAAACCTCAGCCCCTAGTTCTGTCTCTCTCTCCCCCTCCCCAATTAGCTGAGATTCCCTGCCATAGGTGGCAAAGAACACTGGGCCTGGAGTCAGGAAGATCTGAGTTCAAATTTGTCCTCAGATACTTACTACTAGCTGTGTGACCATGCGCAAGTCACTTCACCTGTCTGCCTCTATCTGTAAAATGGGGATCATGGTAGCACCTACCTCCTGGGATTGCTGTGAGGGTCAATGAGATGATAATTATATAAAGTGCTTTGCACAGTGCCTAGCACATAGCAGGTACTTAATAAATGCTTATTTCTTTCTTTCCTTTCACCTACAGGGGACCCATTTCGGATTAAGTTTGGTTTAGTGTTGATGCCCCCTTTGAAGTGGGTAAAGGGAATCAGGCAGAAAGGTATAGGTACCAAGGCCTAAGTTTCTGTGGGTATTGGTGTCCAGGGCTGCTCAAGTGATCCACCCCCTAATCACATAGGTACCAAGAGGCAGTGCCGAGATTCAGACCCAGGCCCCTGATACCAAATTGGGGAGAGTCTCCAAACCTGGATTTGGAGTGTAGAAGCAGGGCCCAGGCAGAGCACTAAGAGGAAGGGATAGAGTCAGAGTGCCTGGCTTGGTGCTGGGCTTTGGGGTCAGGGGACCAGAGTTCAAATCTTGCCTCTTCCACTTATTATCTGTATGATGATGGGCACATGACTGCCCCTCTCAATTTGCCCCTCTCATGGCTTCCAAGGTCCCTTCCAGCTCTAGTTCTGGAAGCCTTGGATCTGTAAAATCACATAATAATCACACTCTAAGACTCATCGAATCTTTGTGCAGAAATAGCTTTACCAGGACCCTGGCAACATGAGTTCACTGTAACTTTCACCTGGGCCCCTCCTATATGGGAATGGGAGAGAGAGGGGAAGAAGGCCTCTCTTGGGCCAACATATTCTCAGTGGAGTTCCTTATTTACCAGGTAATTACAGTGAGAAGTAACTGAAAGCAGAGTGTTATTCTTAGAAAGAGGCAGAGGAATATTAAAGGGGAGAGAAGGGGTTTCCTCCTTTCTCAGTTTCTCTAGTTAGCTTGGGGGTTGAGGGGAATGCAGGGCAGGTTGGGGGTGGGCAATGACGGGACAGAATGGGCCTGGAAGAGAGACTCTTCTGCTCTCCCCAGAGCCCTCCATCTCTGCTGCCATCCCCCCACCCATCCCCGTCCCTGCCACAGCCCTGACTGTGGCAGTGACATTCTCTCTGATGATACTGGGGCCCCTACCTCCTTTTATCTCAGGTGTCAAGTTTGGTGTCTGGTCAGGGGAGGAGGGTGGGGTGGGGAAGGCTGGGGCACACGCATAGAGCCTAGACCTAGTGTGAAGCCAAGGCCTGCATTTGCCCTGGGAGCTCAGAGCTTTGGGTCATCAGGATGGAGAGCTAGGCTTGCCAACGGCACAGGCCAATCAGCCTTGAATGAGTATTTCAGGAGCCTCTTCTGCAGAATAACTCAGATTAAGGCATTCATCTCTATTTTTATTCCATTCTCAGCTTGGGGAAACTACGCAGATTCTGTCTTTTTATTGTTTTTTTTTCTTCCTTCTCTTCCTGTTGTCTTGATGCAGGCATCACGCTGGGAAGCTCCGGCCAAGTAGAAACCCAATCTCCCCTGTGGTCTGATATGAAGGGCAGGGACCTCAGAGGGGGCCAGCCTTGAAGCACCAGAGATCAAGGCCACTAGGGGAGCTAGGAGGTGGTTAGAAAGCCATTTTCTGTTTTTGCCAAGAGTTCTGGTCCAGATTCAGGTGGGGGGTTGGAACTGGCTCAGAGGACAGCCTGACCTAGTTAATGGTGCTCGGACTAGAAGAGGGGGTGGCCTGGCCTGAGCCCCTGTGTGGGCTGGTAGGTGGTTGTAGGCTCTGGCAGAGGACTGGTTTCTCAGAACTCCCGAGAGATTGCTGTTACAGGGAGAGGGAGCAGAACCCCATCGCTGCAAGGCAGAGGCAGGCTCAGTCAGGGAAAGCCTCTTTCCTCCACCTCAAGCTAGTAGGGACCTTAGAAGCCATTCAGTCTAATCCCTTTATTTTACAGAGGGAGAAACTGAGGCCCAGGGATGCTTGTTACTAAGGTACAGGGGGATCTGCTATGTTGGTGGAGGGGAGTCTCTGCCACATTCCCCTGCCTCACAAGACCACTGTGAGGATAAAATAAGATCATGTTTTCAAAGCTATATCACTTTGTTTTCATCTTTTTTGATGGAGTTCAAATAAAAAATGTCCTGGGACAAGTCACTAGCTTATTTCATGTTTTCATTCACAAGTGAGAAGCAGTGCTGCAGGGTGGGTAGAGCTGGCCTTGAGCTGGGAAGCCCAGGGTTCAAGTGTCGCCTCTGACACATACTGGCTCCCAAAGCCTAAAGCGAAGAGAAAGTGCTGATCAGCCTGGGTGGAGCGACTTTGCACACTGAGAACTCCCAACTGATTAAATCGCAGGTTCTGGGTCAAAAGACTTTTTGATCCATATCTAGGATGTCATTGGTCTTTACCAAGCTTGTTTTAGTTGTCTGGGACAAGAAGTGAAGTGATCTGCCTAACTGGAATGTGTCAAAGGGCAGACTTGAACCCAGGGCTTTCTTGTTTTCTGATTTCCCTTTCTACCTCCACTGAGGGTGTTAGTAGTCTTCTCCCTTCCCCTCTCAGCACTTCCTCCATGTACTGCCACCTCCCACCCATCTAAGGCTTTGTGCAAATTATAGACACCATATTTTCTTCACCAAGCTGTGGGAAATGAAACCAGCCTTAAAGAGATTCCTTTCACTATGCATTGTTACAACTAGACTTTCGTCACTTGAAATTAGGACAGCTTAAAAAATCCTGCGTGTAAGGTACCTAGAATTTTAATTCTATGTTCTCAAAGCCCAGAATGTTCAAAGACAGTTAAGTTGATGTTAGAACACAGAGCTTCCATGTGAGAATGGGCTCCCTCCCCCGAGCCTCAAAGCCAATCTTGCTTTTGGCATCCCTGGAGCTCTGGGGATGGATTAAGATGCCCAGAACTTGGAGGCCAGTCAAATCGGCACTGAAGAGTGCAACCTAATCTCCTGGTCCCAGCAGTCACTCCAAGTTTCATGGACTTGCCTCCCTAGGCCTGAGTGACAACCCAGTTTCTTGAGATTTTCTCCCAGTAAAAAGCTAGAGTTTTAAAGGCCATGTACCCTCATGAATGGTTATCGTGAGGTAATGGGCCCCTTCGATGGAGGGTGTCCTGGCCGCAGTACTTTTCTATATCCACTCCCTCACCATCGACATTAAGGACTGCCAATTCTTCCCTTTGATAATCTGGATCTAGGAGAGAGATGCTCTCAACAAGGGTGACATTTAGCTCCCTAGCCCAGACATGCCCTCACTCCTCAGGGCAGTGAAGGGCGGATTTCCAAAGCCACGTTCCAGGGAGGAGTTGCCTGGGGGAGTTTTCCTGACCTGAGGGAGATACGCTGGAGGTAGACGTAGAGCTGTGGGCCACCGGTGGGGGAGGGAATGATTGACTAATGAACCACAATGGAACAATCCTCCATTCTGCAGATGGAAAGGAACTCCTGATCAAGGACTGAGGATGGGGTGGGGGGCTAGTCCTGAAGGATTCATCTTGGTCCAATGGCTGCCCCGTGGAAGCAGGGAAGGCCCATCACCCACCCTGTCTAACATGAAACATCTCTTTGGATATCCAGGAGGAATTCCCAATTTTGAGCTGGAAAGGGACTTGGAGGTCATGGGATCATAGATTTATAGCTGAAAGGGATATTAGAAGCCACGGAGTCCAACTCCCTCATATTCCATGTGAGGAAATTAGGCCCTAGATCATTTGCCCAAGATCACACAAATCATAGACGGCAGAGCTGGGATTTCAATGTCCACATTCTTTATACTGGACTGTGATACTTCTCATCTAGTCTAACCAGTGCTAGGCTATAATCCTGAGTCACTCCCCATCTCTGGGCCTCAGTTTCCCAAGCAGAAATCTCTTCTACAGCATCCCCAACAAGCGGTCAGCCTGTCTTTGCTCAAAGATCACCAGTGATGGGAAGCTCACTACCTGTCAGCCCAGCCCATTTAACACCGGACATTCATTTAATTGAATGTGCCTTGGCAAAAGCCCATCCCTGCCAATCAAGATGCTGGCTGAGCCCTTTGAGTTCTTGTAGGGAAATGCCAAAAGATCTCTGTATCTTGCGGGGTCTCTTAGGCCACTTCAGAGGGAATGAACTATTTCTCAGCTCTAGTGCCTATTGGTGTTGGCTGGGTCCTTGGAGGGCCGTGGCCTCATCATGGAGGCTGAGAAGAGGAGAGAGCAGGAAGCATCCCAGCAAGGAACACCACAAAGGATGGCACTCACTGCCCTGGAAGAGAGGGTAGCCTGGCCCAAGCTCCTGCATGGATTGGTGACAGAGTAGACTTCAGAGGCTTCAAATGCCTCTTCTGACACATGCTGGGCATGCTATTTGTGTTTCTCTAGTAATCTCAGAGCAGGAGGAGATCTGCCTTGGTTCAAGTGTAGAATGTGTGAAGGAACTAAATATGGAATAAGTGAAAGTGAGAAGAGAGGGGCTTTCAGTGGCAGAGGAAGTGGCTTAATCCACAGAGGAAGGTCAGACTTGGGCTTTAGAAAGGGTGTTCTGGGTAGAGACTGGGACAGCCAGACTGGAGGCAGTGAGATCAACTTGGGGTGAAGAAGGGGATGGATGTGATTTCTTGGGGATTTGGAGACAGTCAGACCTGGTCACTGATTGGATTCTGGGGGTGAAAGAGAGGGAAGGGCTGACGACTCAGGGCTGTGAATTTGGGCAACTGCTCTCGATGGAGATAGGGAAGTTAGCAGGAGGGGCACGTTCAGGGGGAGAAGATGAGTTCTATTTGGGCCATGTGGTGTTTGAGATGCCTATGAGACATTCAGGTGGAGAAGGCAAGTAGGCATATGATGCTTGAAGAGAGGGACCAGAGCTGGGTCTAGCTGGATCGCTACAGCTGGGAGTCATCTGTGGAACCTGACAAGGTTACCAAGCCAGAGAGCATAAAGGGAAAAGAGAAGAGGGCCTTGGGGGACCCCTGGGCTTGGGAGGGCATTTATGATGCTCTTCAATCTCTTGTCTCCCCATTGCACCAGGCTGCCCCTCTCTGTGGCAACAAATAGCAGGATGGGTTGGCCAAGGATATATGTCTCGCCTCTAGCCCCAGGGGACCCTTTGTACTCACGCCAATGCCATGAGTCCATATGGCCAGGATCGAGTCTCCAGGCGCTTCACTGAAGGCAGTACCAGCCTGCTCTCCAACTTGTTCTCCTGGGCAGAAGAAGGGAGAGGGGTCAGCAATTTTAAATGTGACCGTAATGTTCAAGGCTTGACAATTAGAAAGGTCTATACATTCTCACTGGCTGCTCACCAAAGCACTGGGAGGCAGGTAAATCAAACATAATCATTTCCATTCTAAAGATGAGTAAGTGGGCGGCTATCTGCCAGGTCCCATCCATGTACAGTGTTCTTCATGCTATATCACACTTCTTCCTCCATGAGGTCCCACTGGACAGCAAGTAGGCCATGGAAACTGATGCCTAGGTAGCCTGGCATCCAGGAAAAGATCACAGATAGCTGTGTGACCCTTGGCAAATTGCTCGACTTCTCTGGGTCCATTTCTTTACTTACCATGGGGAGGGAAGGGGGTGGTGAGACTACAAAGGAATGACTCACAGTTTTATCCTGCTCCCTCCCACACATCCTGGTACTGTATAAATTACTACCCACCTGGCACATCAGTCAGAGGGTGATGAACCGACTTAAGAGATGCTTAACCTAAGCCCTGACTTGGTTTGGCCTCTCCATTGGATACTCAGAGTCAAAAATCCTGGGTTGGAATCTCTGCCCTTACTAGAGATTTGTGAGCCTCAGTTTTCTCATCTGTAAAATTGATTGAGGCTTTGTTCTGAGCTGGGCTCAAGGTGGTGGTGGTGGAGGGTGGGGTTAAGGAAGACTGCACAGAAGAAGAATCCCCTTCAATGACTGACTCTGAAGGAGACTTGAGAGCCCTTCAGCTCAAAATCCAGGATTCCTGAGATCTGGTCCAACTTCCCTCTCTTAAAGATAAGGAAAGTTAAGTCATTTGTCCAAGATCAGTTCTGGCTCTGATATATAGCAATGGAAAGAGTTGACAACAGAATCCATGGAGGAGTTGGGTGATGGAGGGAAGGGAGGATTCTCTTCACTCCAGGAGTGGGGTACCAATGTCGAGGTAGGAGAAGACAGGATGAGATGGGGGGAAGGGGGTGGGCCGGTGAATAGTCCAGTCTGGGTGATGCTTACAAAGCTTATGGAATTCTGCTTCTGATTTTCACCAAATCAATTCCAATGAACCCAGTGAGAAATCTAAATGTTTGTGGAGCTGAAGCCATTATCGTTGTATACGTGGAGGTGGGGGGGCAGCAACGTGGCGCTGTAGTGGATAGAGCACTAGGCCTAGAGTCAGGAAGACTCGTCTTCATGAGTTCCAATCTGGACTCAGTCACTTCTAGTGGTGTGACCCTGGGCAAGTCACTTAACCTCTCTCAGATTCTGTTTCCCCATCTCTAAAATGGGCATAATAACAGTACCTACTTCCCAGAGTGAGCAGCTAGGTGGCACAGAAAATAGAATGCCAGGCCTGGAGTCAGGAAGACTCATCTTCCCGAGTTCAAATCTAGACTCAGACACTGACTAGTTGTGTGAGCTTGGGCAAATCACCTCACTCTGTTTGCCTCTGTTTCCTTATCTGTAAAATAAGGTGGAGGAGGAAGTGAGAAACCACTCCAGTATCTTTGCCAAGAAAACCCCAGATGGGGGTCACAAAGAGTCAGACGTGACTGAAAAATGATCAAACAACAAAACAAAAGGGGAAGCAGGTGGAGTACACGGCCAACATACTCAGTACATGGGAGGGCACTTGAATTTCTCTCCTCAGCTAGATCCACAGCCTTCTTAAATCAACAAGCTGTCAAGTCAACTAATATTTAGTAAGCTCCTACTATGTGCCAGATGTTGTGCTAAGCTCTGGGGACACAAAGGGAGGCAAAACCAATCCCTCTCCTTGAGGAGCTCATAGTCTAATGGCAGAGGTAACACACAAATAGCCATGTAAGAACAAAATGTCTTAAACAAGATCACCTGGAGATAATAAACAGGGGGGTTGGGAAAAGCTAGATCCAACCATCAACACAAGATCCTACTGGCAATTAGTGGTTGCAATCCATTGGACACAATGTATGGGGTTTTTATTTGCATGCTGCCATCTGAGGTAGAACAGCTAGATGAAGACCAGAGTATCTTAGGAGGCCTATGAAAGGATAGTTTATGTCCCCATTCATGGTGCCCCACAAAAGGATAATTTATGTCCCCATTCATGGTGCCCCACGCACTCTGGAAACTCGGCCTTCTCATTGGGTTTTGAGTGGGAAGTCATCTGGCAACACCATTCTGGCCTCAGGAGAGTGGCAGGACATGGGGGTGTTCTAGCCTGGACTGTCCCCTCATCCATCATCTGGCCAGATATTGGGCCAGAAAGTCTAGAGCTAGAAGTGCCATGGCATGTCAGGACTGGAAGGGTCCATCCTTGAAGCACTACTTAGATCAGCACCTCCATTTTATAAATGAGGAAACTGAGGCCGAGAAAGGGAAAAATGATTTCTATCCCAGCCACTATTCAAACCCAGGCCTTATGACTTCCAAATCTAGCAATCTTGTCATTGTATACTTCTGGATGGCATAGTAGAAAGAGCCTGCTCTTTCTGAAACTTGGATTTGAATCTCATCTCTGGTGCTTACTACTGGTGTGAGCTTGAACACCTACTTAGCTCCCTCAGCCTCAGTTTTCCCATCTGTAGAATGAGGGAGATGGACAAGATGGCCTCGGATTCTTTCTAGCTCCAGAGGTAAGCTATGTATTTGAAGTCCCCTTATTGTTTAGAGCTACAACATCTGGATTCAAAACCAAGACAGATGTAGTCTGACAACAATATCTTTGTTTTGTTATGTTTTTAAATAAAGCGTTGTTCAAAGTATACCTGAGCTGTCCCAGAAAACTCAGACTCTGTGGTCACTGTATCTGGAAGCAGCCTACAGCTTCGGGAAGCCTCACCATTGATGAGCTAAGTCAGAGATGGGAAACCTGCAGCCTGGAGGCCACATGTGGCCCTCTAGGTCCCCAAGTGTGGCCCTTTGACTGAATCCAAACCTCACAGAACAAATCCCCTTCATGAAAGAATTTGTTCTGTAAAACTTGGACTCAGTCTAAAGGCTGCACCCAAGGACCTAGAAGGCCATGTGGCCTTGAGGCCGCAGGTTCCCTAGCCCTGAGAAATACTCTGATTGGTCCTATCCAATGCTAAGATCCAAACTCTCCCTTGAAGCATTACTACTTTCTATGACACCCCTGCTGAGTAGAGGAATGGAAGGAGCCTGGGACTTGGAATCAGAAGTGCTGGGATTACATCCCAGCCCTGCTCCTCACTACCTGTGTGACCTTGGGCAAGTCATTTCCCCACGAGGTCTCAGTGTCTACAGCTATAAGACAAGGGAGGTCTGGACTGGATGCTCAAGAAAAACGTAAATGGCGGGCACTGAGGCAGGGTGAATTTCAGACTTAGGGGTCCAGAGTGGAAACCAATGTGTCTGAGTTGATTAGAATCCCAAGGAAGGTAATTGGCATTCTTTGGCTTTTAATCACTTTCCTCTAGGAGGGAACAGACCAGGAGATGATGAGGGTGCAGACCCCTGCTGTGTGCCTGCCCCTATTGTATGCCTGCCTATGTGTCAGCATAGCAGCAGTTTGCAATGAGAACCTTTCCAGTCAGAAATTCTTTGGAGATTTTATAGGATTTAGACTAGAAGGGAACCTGGAGGCCAGTAAGTCTAATCCCTTCATTTTAGGGGGGACTAGACTTAGGATGACATTGCTGTAGAGAGCTCCCAGTAAGAAAACTCCCTCTACTGATGCTAAGAGGCACCTGCTTGACAACTTACAGCCCAAGAGAGTCCAAACCTTCCATTTTATGGGGGAGGAAACTGAGTCTAAGAAAAGAATGCTGCACATATAATAAGCAGAAGATCTTGGATTTGAACCCAGTTCATGATATGTGTATGTGGGTACATGTATGTGTGTATGTGTGTATATCATATATGTGTGTGTGCATGTGCATATATAGTGAGAACATGAGGATGTCTGTATATGTATATATTTTTGATCTCTTTGTAGTGGTGAGACTATAAATGTGTACACATGCATGCATGTATATGTATGTGTAAGTTTGTGGAGTCAGACTATATATGTGTGTAGATAGGCACATACATGTGTGTATGTATTTATGTATCTATTAATATTAATAAAATAACATATTAATACGCACACATGCATACACACATGTATGTACGCATATATACTGGTTATTCTCTAGATTATACCAAGGTAATGGTGAGCCTGGTCAGAGGCAGTGAAATATAAAATGGCAAAGTGGATAGAGTGCTAGGCCTGGAGTCAGGAAGTCCTGAGTTCAAATCCAGCCTCAGACACATAACACTCACTGGCTGTGTGACCCCGGGCGAGTCACTTAACCCCGTTGCCCAAACCCCACCCCGCCCCAAAAATGAGATCACATTTGTAAAGGTCCTGGCAAACTGTAAAGCCTTATAGAAATGTGCGATTTTTAAAATTAGGATTAGCTTCCTGCTCCAGCCCCTGACTACCAAATCTCCCCCATTCCTGCTCTTTCTCTTTCCTTTCCCTTGCAGGTCCCTGAAACTCAAGCTCCCTCATTTTTCACAGGAGTCTTGGGAATTCCTAGGCCTTGTGCCAAATGGAGAGAGGAGGAAACGCTTACCTCAGGCCTGGTCTTCTTGGGCTCCACAAGGACCTCACTGGAAGTCTTGCCGCTCAGGGGACGCATCTGGATGCCACTGCTGTTGTGGGAGAGAGGGAGAATTCAGCCCATCTGTCATTTCACCAGAAGTCTCTGAACAGGTCCAAAGTAACGTGGGTAATGCTCAACCGTTAGGCCTTGCCTTTGGATTCTACTCTCAGCTTTTGTTGATGTCCTAGAGAGAACTGGTACCTGAGCCCAAGCCCCATTCCGTGATTCCTCAGTTGGTCCTTGTGTGTGAAGGTGGCATGGCCAACCCACTGTCTGAATCATAGAATGCCAGAGTGGAAGGCACCTTAGTAGCCAACTGGGCCTACCCATACTTGAAAGAAATCCTCCTCTACCTCACCCAGCTCCTATTTGAAGACCTCCAAGGACGGGCAACTTATCACCTCATTCCAACAAGTAATACATCAAATTGTTGGGGAATTTTCCCTGGCATTGCGCCTAAAGTGACCTCTGCACCTTCTGCCCCCTGCTCCTGGGCCTGCCCTCTGGGACCAAACAGAACAAAGTCAATCCTTCCTCCATAGGACGGTCTTTCAAATACTTAAACCCAGCTATCATGCTGTGTCTTCTCTTGTCCAGGCTAAACATCCCTAGTTCTTTCAACCAGGCCTCTCCTTTGGGGCCAAGTGCAATGCCTAATCTCTCTTCTAGAGGATGGTCCTTCAACAATTGGGGGAAAGTTGTCATGGAGGAAGTCATGGGGTATGCTGGGAAGAGTATTAGCTCCCAAATCAGAGGCAACTTCAATCAAGTAAATTCAATCTCATCTCTGATGCTTGCTTCCTGTGTGAGACCTTGGGCAAGTCTTACTTCCCTGGGTCTCATTTTCCTCCCCTATAAAATGAGGGGGTTGGAATTGATGGTCCTTAAGGTCTCTGCCAGCTCTGATTCCAGTTACACTCTGCCAGATTCAAACATCATATAAAACTCAGTCATCTATACCTCACCTTCCCAAGGCTTTGGTCTTTTACTCTTATGGATTCCATGCAAACTCTTCCTCCAGGAAGTTCTCCCTGATTCTTCCAACCCACCACAATCTCTCTTCCTCCTGGAAATACCTTGAGGACATATGGGGCCTTATATGGTTCAATGACAACATGGTCTCATTGAACGTGGACAGATGGGTAGATTTGGAGCTGGAGAACCTTGCTTGAAATCCTGGCCTCACCCCTAAAACTCAAGTGAATCAATTCCTCTGTACAATGAAGTGGTGAGATCAGATGACCTTTGAGGTCCTGCCCAGCTCTAAATCCAAAGTCTACGAGCTGAGGAGTGAATGCCTAAAATGGTCTTATATTTTTGTATCCCTTTGCTGAGATGAATTGAATGAGAATGGGAGTGAGGTGGTTTTTAGGTTTACAGCCTTATCTCTGTCACTAACTTCCCTCTCTGAGACTCAGTTTCCTCATCTGTAAAATGAGGCAGTTAGGCTAGATGAATTCTAAACTCTTAGACCATAAAATATTTGAGCCAGAAGGGCCCTTAGTGATAACCAAAAGGAGCTTTAGATACCAAGTCCAAACTCTTTATTTTACAGATAGAGAAACTGAGTCACAGAGCAAGAAAATTGGCACAGGAAGAGAGTAGTTTGTGCCCAGGTTGTTGGACTCTTTCCACATCTCTCAGCACGCTTGTGAGGCCTTTCTCCCTCCTGCCCCAAATCTTTTACCTCTTCCTGTGCCAAAATAGCCAGTAAAAGTCTCCCAGACCTTCAGCTTCAAGGGACAGTAGTCGTCACAGTAACAGTATCTTGCTCACCTGTCTTCCTCGGTGCTCTGGTGAGTAGGGTCATTGTTCAGATTCCCTTCCATGGGGCTGGCCTTGAAGTCAAGCTCTTTGTCAAACATGTTGAGGGGGATGTAGTCTTTGCCTTCCTGTATAGGCAAACAAGACACAGCCTGAATCCTGATACCCCATGTCCCTTCCTCTGGCTTCCCTCCCTGGGCTGCACTGGGGATGTGCTACAGGCCTGAACCTGGCCAGTAGGAGGCCTTGGGCCTAGATGTGGTTCTCCAGCATCTCCAACAAGGGTTTTGGGGGGTTTAGAGATTGACGTACAATGGCATGTGAGGGATCAAACCAAACACTAGAGTTTGGGCCCTAAGCCTACTAGTAACTAGCCCCTCACTGGGCTTCAGTATCCTTATCTACATAATTAAATGACCTCTTTGCAAATACAACACAGACTATCAGAGCCTATGGGACAGAAAAGAACATAGAATATACAAGGTTGGAGTGTCAGAGCTGGGAGGGACCTTAGAGGGCCTGTTCACATGCTCCATTTCCTATATTCTATATTTTCTATATTCTAAGGTCCCTTCCAGCTCTGACATTCCATCAGCCACTACCAATTTGGAAGAGAGAGAGAGAGAGAGAGAGAAGAGAGAGAGAGAGAGAGAGAGAAGAGAGAGAGAGAGAGGGAGGAGGAGGAGGAGGAGGAGGAGGAGGAGGAGGAGGAGGAGAGAGGAGAGGAGAGAGAGAGAGAGAGAGAGAGAGAGAGAGAGAGAGAGAGAGAGAGAGAGAGAGAGAGAGAATATGTGTGTAGGGGGTGGTCCTTAGCTTGGATTTGGAAAGGGCAAACAATGCTTGCATGGGTGACCAGGATTACAAACTGCTTGGACCTAGATGGGAGGGATCCTTGTCAGAAAAAAAGATGGCGGCCATACCTTGAAGTCTCTTCCACTAGAGATGGAGAAACCTCGGAGGCCAGCCTACCCAATCCCCTTCATTTTACTGAGCCCCACTAAAGTCACATGTAGGGCCCTAAGGGCCTAGATCTTGGGCTGGAAGCACCCTCAAAGGCCAGTGAGATGAAGGGACTTGCTCCCAGTTACATGGGGTAGAAGGTGATGGGGTGGGGCTGGGACTCCACCTCCGGGCCTCTGCCTCCCCAGTGGTTTCTCTTTCCCTTGCACCACGCTGCTTCCTCTCCCTGTAATCCCCATGAAGTGGACAGTACAAAAATCATCACTCTCATTTTACAGATGAACAGACCAAGGCTCAGAGAAATCAACTTATTTGCCCAGGGTCATAGCTAGGAAGCATTAGGGGCAAGATTTGAACCTGTTTCTCCTGACTCCAAGCCCATACCAATGATAAAAAGGGCAAATCCGATAACTCCACCTTGGAGTGGAAGGAGGGAGGGAATGAGGGAGAGAGATATGGGTTCTCCCCTATGGGGTTGGGCATTTGCAATGGAGCCCAAATTTCCATATGGGGATCCATAGTTTTCTGGAAGGGGCAGCTCTGGCTTCAAACAGAAGTGATCATGGGGCAAGACAGAGGGGGAGGCAAGGGGAGAGGGGAAGGGGTCGGGGTGATGGATGCACAGCTGGCGAGCCCCATGGCATGTGAATGAAGCCCATTCATTGTGTACAGCCCCACTTGGTTGGGATGAGGACAGCACTGACTTATTGCTATCTGCAGCATTAACCCCTTACTCCCTACCACCTGGTCACAATAGCCTACATTGTAACTGTCCCAGAATTCAGCACCTATTGGGGGCTGGAACTAAGTGGGATGGGAATCTTGTAGGATGATTGGCCTCTGGCTGAAAGTGTTTACAAAGGGGGAAAACTGTGGCCTTTCACACCATTTCTTCATCTTTCCCTTTCTGATATTTGTCTGCCTGGGACACTCCCCTCTTGTTCCTCTACCACCTCTCTCCATTTGCTTAATGGAGCAGTCAGATTTAGGGCCCCCACCCTACTTTCCCAGAAAATTAAACCTCTCCCCTCCAATCTGGTTCTCTTTCTGTCTCCCTCTCTCACTCTTTCTATCTCTGTCTCTCTCTGGGTGTGTGTGTGTGTGTGTGTGTGTGTGTGTAACGGTATGCATGGAAATTGAGTTGAGACAATAAAAGGTTCATGGTGCCAACTCTATTCAAGGTTCAGTCACTAGAAGGAGACTGAGTCCTTTCTCTTCAATGTTATGGCAACACACTTGAGTTGGGAGGTGGTTGTAGGAGGCAGTGGGGGCTAAGACAGTTGGTTTGGCTTGAGCATATCCAGGGCCATGGTGATGCCAGCTTATGACATGGGAAGCTAACTAAAGAGAGGGAGGCAGACATAAAGGGCCATTGTTACTCCAGGGTGTGAGGCTGCGAAGTCTCCCTAATTAGCCTCCAGTATGTTTTGTCTGGCCTGGATGGGTGAATCTCATTTTTGAAATGGAATTCCCGCTCCCCTGCACCTGGCTCCTAGGCCTCCCACCCCAACCTGTTTGCCCTTCCAGGTCTTCCCATATGGATGGTCCCAAGCTGGTTTCTTCCCTGAGGATCACAGAACCCTAGTTAGTATAACTGGATCAGGAGGGTGGACTATATACATACCTGCTGAACACTGGCCTGTAGGAGGTCCCCAAGGCGCTCAACCAGCTCAGTGAAAGTGGGTCTCTCTGCGCACACACCATTCCAGCAATCAAGCATGGTCTCATAGCTGCAGGTTGGGGAGGAACACCGAGATGGTCACACCAGGTAACCTCTTGGAGGTTTGCTCTCTACTTTTCTACTATCCCACTATCACTCAACCTGAAAACCACCAGCTCCCAGGCAGCTCTGGGAACCAAAGCATCAAGTGTGAGGCTTAGTCACACCTCAAGGACCCTTAGGAAGGACAATGTCAGAGCAGGGAGAGGCACTGGAGCTTAGAATGTCAGAGGTGATTGGGGCCTTAGAACATGGAACAATGGAACATTAGAGCTGTGAGGGGCTTTAGAACAGAGAATGTCAGAGCAGGAAGGGAACCTCAGAGATCATCTAGCTTGACACTCTCATTTACAGAGGAGGAAATTGAACCTCAGTGAGGTAGTAGGCAAGTGCCCAAACTGGTAGTAAGCATCAGACAGGAATTTGAACCTGGGTCCTCCCAGGTAGGGAAGTTGGTTGGTTGGTGTCTGTGCTCAAAGAGGACCAAAATGACATCACTATGTTGGGGTCAAGGTACAGTGTGTCCAACTGGCTGATCAGACCAATATGAGCTCAGAAGGCTCTACCACAGGTTGGGCAGAAAAAGTCCATGAGAACACTGGGAGTGGAGGTGTCTCAGACAGGGGTAGCCCCCTCCTATCTTTCTAATCTTACACCTTACTCCCCCACACATATTCTTTCAGCCAGTGACCCTGGACTCCTGGCTGTTCTACGAACAAGACCCTCTATCTCTCTGTTCTGGGCATTCTCTCTGGCTGTCCTCCATGCCTGGAACTCTCTCACTCCTTCACTCCAACTACTGATCTCCCTGGCTTCCTTAACATACAAATTAAAGTGCCACCTTCTACGGGAGCCTTTCTTCCAACCCTTTTCATTCCTGTGCCTTCCCTCTGTTCATTATCTCCTATTGATCCTGTATAGATCTTGTTTGTACACATTCATCTGCATGTTGTCTCCTTCACCAGATTGTGAGTTCCTTGAGGGCAGGGACTGGACTGTCTTTGACTCTTTTTGTGCTTAGTAAATGTTTCTTGATTGATTTCTGAATGATTCTCAGATTCCCAAGTCGGTGCCCTTTCCACTCTCCCCTCAATTTGAATGGAGAAATGCCAAATGGGAGTTTGGACAGTTATTTATAGGCCTCTTCACGTTGGGTAATCACTTCTGTGCTTTTGTTTACCACTGGGTTCTGACTATACCATGCTATCATTAATACTCCAATTCCTCTGAATGAGGCACCCAATTTAGAAGAAGTCTTGGAACAAGCAGTAGATACGGAGTCAGCTTCAGAGCTGGGACTAGAACCTGTCAACAGCCAGTGTGACTATGAATAAGTCATCTTGCCTTCTCTGGGTCTCAGAAATTAGTATCAAGTCGAACTCCCTTATCTTCCAGATGAGAAGCCAAAGGTTCCTTCTCAATCTGGCACTCTTTGGTCTTTGAGTCAATCTACGCTTTAGGACTTCCCCAAATGGGCATTTGGGGCTCTCTTGATTCCAGTAATGATCAACCTTGGGACCCTTGATCTAGAGGAGAACTTACATTTCTGGAGTGGAATACTCAGGGGATTTCATCCGACTGCCTTCCTTGAGTCGGAGGCAAAAATCCTCATCTATTTGCACCCCTGGGTAGGGCGAAGCACCTGTGGGAGACAAGCATTTCAGGTTTCAGATATTTCCCGACTATAGGGGGATTCCCAAGAAATGTTGGGAGATCCCAGGCAGAAGCTGGTGCTGATGGAGGGCAGCCCTTAGGAATGGGAACACTTCTGAAGTAGGTAACTTGTATCCCAGTCAGTCTGAGCCAAGAGACTTTGGCCCAGGGCCAGGACTCTGATGATTGTTAACAATCTAGACAGATAACAAGCTAGAAAAAAAAGAGTGGCTTAGTATTTAGGATTTGGGAGTCTGGAGGCCCCCTCACTGCCTGTGTAACCTCAGGCAAATCACTTGCCCCCTTTAGGCCTCAGTTTCTGCCTTTGGAAAACAAAGGAGTTGGATAAAAAGGTATTTCAGATCTCTTCCTCAACTTATCTGCTCCAAGGTTGCTCCCATCCTGGGATCTGGGTTCTAAGGCTTCTCTCCCTTCCAAAACAACTGAACTGGACCAATATTCTCTTTATCTGAGATACTCTGGACCACTTGGGCAAAGCATGACTTCCCTAGTGACATTTTGGACTGTTTCTGAGCATGGCCAAGTTGCTGGCCCCTGTCGAACAGGGCTCATAGCTGGAAGCAATCCAGCTAGACCTCCAGTGTTTACTAGATTATGGGACAAGTAAACAGCTGCCTTTTTCTCTGGGTCTTTTCTGGAGGGCAGAGAGCACATTCCCAAACTTGAATGAGAGTCTGAAGCCAAGATGGTAGGTGGGAGACAAATATTTATAGATCTGCTTTGCCATGAACCTGTTACTATGTGCCCTGTGCTAGGCTCCCAAGATGGCAAAGCATGGGGGATTTAGAGGTGGGAACCCAGAGCCACTTCAGCTGTGTGATCCTGGATGAGTTATGGCCCATCTCTGAGTCAGTTTCCCCTCTCTCTAAACAGGCCAGTGGTGAAGAATGAAGAGAGGGGAGGGGTCAGTGTGGCTTAGTGGGAAGAGTCAGGAGACTTGGATTGGCAAGCTAAGTCCCTTCTTCTCTCTGGGCCTTTTCAAAATGAAAGGGTTTGGAGTCAGAGGCCTTGGGTTTGAGGACTGCCATTTACTAGCTGTGTAACCTCCGGCAAATCCTTTCACCTCCTTAGGGCAGGCCTCTTTAAAACGAGGGAGTTGGACTTTTTGACCTCTTAGGTCAAATTAGTTCTAGATCTAAAATCCATTAGATTGTAAACTCCTTGAGGGCAGGGATTATCTTTTATCTCTTTTTGTATCTCCAGCACTTAGTCCAGTGCCTGGCACACAGTAGGTGCTTAATAAACGTTTACTGATTGATTGGTCCTATGTGTGATCTGGGGCAAGTCGATTCACCTCCCTGGGCCTCAGTTTCCTCCTCTGTAAAAGGAGGAGCAGTGGTGGACTCAGCGGCATCTGAGGTCCCATGGTTCTGTGACTCCCCCACCTCCTCAGCTCCCCTCGACCTATAGCTCCCCTTCCTCTACATCAAGGCTGCGTCCCTTAGCCAAAGGGCTTGGTGAGCTCAGCCCTCATCCTCTGTTGCTCCTTCCTAATGGAATATGTTCAGAAGAAAGATGGTGGTAGGGCTGGAGACAGGAGCCTGGAGAGAGCTCTGGGCCCATGGGGAAGGGGGAGTAGAATAATCATAGTCACTCATGCGTCTCCAGTGCCTAAACATGCTTTCCTTGTCACAACCAGCATGATTACTGTCATTTTACAGGGGGAGAAGCAATTAAAGACTCTGAGTCTAAATCATAGGGTCCCTAATCTCAAGCTGGAAGGGGCCTCAGGGGGCCATCGAGTCCAACCCCCTTAGGTTACAGAGGGGGAAACTGAGGCCCAGGAAGGGGCAAGGGACTTGTCCAAGGTCACAGGGAGGAATCTAGACCCAGAGCTGGAAGGGACCTCAGAGGCCATCAAGTACAACCCAGGTCTCAGGCAGAAAGAGACCTTGGAGGGCCATTGAATACAATCCCCTCAGGTTACAGAGGGGGAAACTGAGGCCCAGGGAGGTGAAGTTATTGGTCACACAGGTATTAAGTGTCAGAAGTAAGACTAGAACCCATGTCTTCATGACTCCATGGCTTGTGCTTTATTTGGTATCACACAAGTGCAGTGTCTAGAATAAGGGACGAAGTGAGAGAGAGAGGTGGGGAGAACACATGACCCTTTGACTGAATCCCAACTTCACAGAACAAATCCCCCTAATAAAAGGATTTCTTCTGTAAAACTTGGACTCAGTCGAAAGGCTGCACCCAAGGACCTAGAAAGCCACATGTGGCCTGGAGGCTGAAGGTGCCTCACCCCTGTTAGAACTACAGTTCTCTGTTCTCTTCATACCTATTGTATTCAGTTCTGGGGTCACCTTTTCAGAAAAACAATATCAAGCTGGAGGATCAGGTGGGGGGGTGGTATATGCAAAGGCAGGGAGATGGGAGATTGATAATCTAATGGAGAATGTATGGAGAATAGTAAAGGGAAGAAGTGGGATTTGAAGCCAGCACCTCTGCCTCCAAATCCAGCAATTTGTCCATTGCCCCATACTGCCCCTGGCCTCAGGCTTCTTCAGCTAAGAGAATCCATTTCTAAAATCTAGGTTCTCCAGGGCATGCCTGGAGCTCTAATACGGAAAGGACAGGAGATGCCCTGTCCCACGTGGCTATTTCACTTCTGATGCTAAGCATCACTTATTTGACTCAAGGCTAAATCGTGTGACTGGCTTTCAACAGAAATCTTTTCTTCTGTGTCTTAAATGCTCTTTATCTCTGGGATAAGACCTAGAGACAAGCAGCCCTGGATGAGAGCCAAAACATCCCCTGTAGGAAAGACAAACATCTTTCCATGCTCTTGGCTCACAATGATCTATAAAGTTTTGAATCCATCCCCTTGGATACCCAGTGACATCAATCTCTAATCAAATATTTGTTGCTTGTTTCCAAAGTGGGCATGTCAGGTGACCCTTCATGAACCCCCTGCCTAGGCCAGAGATACAGGGTTTGGGATTTGGAACCCCAGGAGGAGATTCAGAGCAAATGGGTCTGGATGCATTGGGCTCCAAGGGCCTCCCATCCCGAATATGGCTTGGTTTCGTCTCCTCTTGTCCAGCCTCTGCTTTGATTCAGGCCCTCATCACCTCTCACCTGGAATATCATATCCACCTCCCTCTGGACATTCCTGCTTCAAGCCTTTACCCATTCCCATCCATCCTTTGCTCAGGTGGCCAAAATGAAATTCTCAAAATGCAGATCAAACCCTCTTTTCCCTCTATTCAAAATTCTTCAAGAGCTCCCTATTGTGCTTTGAATGAAACACGGAATTGTATTTTTAAAAGCCTTTGGCCCACCATTTAAGGCTCTCCAGGCTCAGGCTGTCATCTTCCTTCTCTTTGGCTAGTCAAACTGGTCTAACGGTAGCTTCTAGCATTTTAGTGTGGATTATCCGCTAGGCCTGGAAGGAATGCTCTCCTTACTTCTGCCTTTTAGAGTCTCTAACTACCTTCAAAGCCCAACTCAGTGACACCCACTCTACAGGGACCTTCCTGACACCCTTGCCCCTCAGGTAGGTTGGTTTACTGCCTTTCTCTAGAATTTCCTTTGCATTAAGCTCATCCACATTGGATTGCCAACTTGGGGCTAGGTTTGATTAACAGATGAGTGAGTGAATGGGGTGAAAGGTCATGCGGTATAGTGTACAAATCTCTAGATGTTGACTTAGGAAGACCTGCATTCAAATCCTGCCTTAGACACTTACTAGCTATGGAGACCATGGACAAGTATCTCTGATTCCTCATCTATAAAAAAAGGAGGTTAGATTCAATGGTCTATGTTCAGGAGTGGGGAACCTGCGGCCTGGGGGCCACATGTGGCCCTCTGACTGAATCCAACCTTCACAGAACAAATCCCCTTAATAAAAGGATTTGTTCTGTAAAACTTGGACTTGGTCAAAAGGCCGCACTTGAGGACCTAGAGGGCCACATGTGACCCCCAGGCCACAGGTTCCCCACTCCTGAACATAGACCATTGAATCTAACCTCCTTTTTTTTATAGATGAGGAATCAGAGATACTGGACTAGGTTTCCTACCCCTGGACTAGGCAGTCACTGCGATCCGAGGCTCTTCAGATCAGCCATCTCATACAACCTCCTTCTTTGATAGTTGAGGAAAATGAGGTCCAGGGAGATGAAGTGACAAAGGTCATCTCCTAGAGCAAGGGTGGGGAAGCTGCGGCCTCGAGGTCACCTGTGTCCCTCTGGGTCCTCAATTTCGGCCCTTTGGCTGAATCTCAACTTCACAGAACAAATCCCCTTCATAAAAGGATTTGTTCTATACAGCTTGGACTCAGTCAAAAGGCCAAACCCAAGGATCTAGGAGGCCTCTAGGCTGCAGGTTGTCTACCCCGGGAACGAGGTCTCCTCCACTTCCAAATCTATGATCTTCTCTGCTTCATACCCAATACAAAGATACTTCTGAAATATTTAAATTGATCCATATAGTTGCCCTTTCTCCTCTGCACAAGGAGAGGTATGCAGGGGTACTTTTCTCTCTTCTCTCTAGGTTTTCAGGACACCCCTCTCTCTCTCCTGGTTCTCCTCCTCCCTCTCTGACCGCTCCTTCTGTCTCCTTTGCTGAATCCTCCTCCAGGTCATACCCTCAGGGCTCTGTCTTGTGCCCTCTTCTGTTCTGCCCTTATATATGCTACTACACTTCATCTCATCCGCTCCCATACCATCTCTATACTAGTGACTCTCAAATCTACTTCACCACTCTACTGACCTCCAATCCTACACCTCATAAGTTGGATGTCCCATGGACACCTTCAACTCAACATGTCCACAACTGAACTCAATGTCTTTCCCCCCAAACTCTTCTCTCTTCCCTATTATTGTCAAGAGCACCACCATCTTCCCTATCCCTGAGGCTCACAGCCTAGGCGTCACCTTGGACTCCTCACTTAATCCCCATATCCAAGCTGTTTTGACAATGCCTGTCAATTCTACCTTTGCAGAATCTCTCCAGTAAGCCCCCTTCTCTCCTCTGACACTGCCCCCACCCTGGTGCAGACTCTCATCTCCTTGTGCCTGGACTATTGCAATAGCTGCTGGTGGGGGGTGGGGTGGTCTGCCTGCCTCAGGTCTCTCCGTACTCCAATCTGCCCTGCATTCAGCCAGCAATGACTGTCCTAAAGTGCAGTTCTGACCATGCCACCCCCGTGGAAATCAAACTCCAATGGCTCCCTATTACCTCCAGGGTCAAGTACAAAATGCTCTGTTTGGTGCTCAAAGCCCTTCATGACTCAGCCCCCTCCTACCTTCCCAGTCTTCTTACCCCTTACTCCCCTCCATGTACTCTTTGGCCTGGTGACCCCAGCCACCTGGTTGCTCTGTGAACAAGACCTTCCATTTCTCTGCTCTGTGCTTTCTCTCTGGCCGTCTCCCAATGTTCTCCCTCCTTGGCCCTGACCACTGACCTCTCTGGCTTCCTTCAGCTCCAACTAAAACCCCACCTCCTACAGGCAGCCCTCCCCAAGCCCTCAATTCCAGTGCCTTCCCTCTGGTCAATATTTCCTCATGATCTTGCATAGAGCTTGCTTTGGACAGATTTGTTTGCATGTTGTGTCCCCCATTAGAGTGTGAGCTTCTCGAGGGCAGGGACTGTCTTTTGATTCTCTTTGTATTCCTAGTGCTTAGCACAGTGCCTAGCACATAGTAGCAGCCTAATAAATGCTTACTGACTAGTTCAGATAGATTAGCTTTTTAACAAACAGGCATTGCTCAAAACTAGAGCAACTGGAATCCTGAGGCTGATATGAACAGAATTCATCACACCTGTAGTTCTAGAAAGAAGCTTCTCTTGGCTTCTGCTCTGAGAGTTGACTCTGCAAAGGTTATTGTAGCCAAATGACTCATCAGCAGTGGACCAGCTGGACCAGCTGTTCTTTCAAATGCCTTATTCTGAAACTTGGCCTGTCCCAGGGCAGAGGAACTCTGGACAAATGATGGTAGACACAGTGAACTTGCCACTGGCCCTCTACATTTGGGGTTTTGAGACGGAGCCCCGATTTCTTCCTCTGCCCCTTCCCCCTAATACTAACACTAGCCAGCATTTATTTAATGCCTCTTTAAGGCATTAAACATATTCATCTCATTTCATCCTCATATTAGCCATGGGAGGTCAGTACTACTGTTATCCCCATCTTACAGATGAGGAGACTGAGGCAGACAGAGGTGAAATGATTTGCCCAGTCATACAGCCAGTAAGGGTCTGAGACTGAATTTGAACTCAGGTCTTCTTGACTCAAGCCTAACCCTCTATCTACTGGGCCACTGAACTGCTTCCAAGAGCCCCTCCTTCAGCCCCCTTAACATCTGGTACTGCCTGATTGCTTTTGGATCCTGGGAATAGCCTTAGGAGTTGGAGCAGTGGTAGTGACTAGGACTGTCTGGTCTGCAGCAGCTATACCTGGGAGCAGTCAGGCCTGGAGAGGAGTAGGGGCTGAAGAACACTTACCCAAGGAGAATATTTCCCACAGCAGGACTCCGAATGACCACACATCACTTTGGGTAGTATAAATCTTATCAAAGATAGCTTCAGGGGCCATCCACTTCAGTGGGAGCCGGGCCTGGAAAACCATGGTAGGAGAGACAGAGAGAGAGGGAGAGAAAGAAGGGAAAAGGGGAGAGAGAGAGAGAGAGAGAGAGAGAGAGAGAGAGAGAGAGAGAGAGAGAGAGAGAGAGAGAGAGAGGATAGAGAGGAGAAAGAGACAGAGAGAGAGAGAGCGAGCCATTAGAATGCTTCATAGCTTCACCATGCTGGCAGGAGCTGTGCCTGGGTGAGGGGCAGGGCAGGCAGGCCAGCTGGCTGGTGAGTGTCATACTTACGTCTCCTTTCCGGACATAGTCAGGGTCCTTGTAGATGTCTCTGGCCAGGCCGAAGTCACAGATCTTTACCACATTGTTGTCAGTCAGGAGGATGTTCCGAGCAGCCAGGTCCCGGTGAATGCACTAAGGAAAGGGAAGGGGTAGGAGAGTGAAAGGTGCTTGAAGGGCTGTGGCTTTGTCAGGAGGAGGGTTAATGAAGCTCTTAGAGATGAGAGGGGCACATGCTGGGGAGGCAGGGTAAGGGCAATGTCTGAGGACTTGCCCAAAACAAAGCAAATGGGATTCGATACCAAAGACAAATGAAGCCAAGCTTGTTGATCCTTTCTGAAACTGCGTGAAGGAGACACAGAGATGGAGTTGACATGAGAATAGCAATATCCCACTGGCTTCTGGTTAAAGTATAGCAGCCAAGCACCCAAAGGGGCAAGAAGCATTGGTTAAGAGGCATCCTGGAATATTTAAGTACTAAGAATGACTCCATTTCCTCACCCTTAGGGTATGGTCATTAGAATCATTCATTGATCCATTCATTCAATAAGCATTTATCAAGTACCTGCTATGTACTAGCCCCTATGCTTGTCTGTGTGGGGTTGGCTGACAACCACTTTTTAGATGGGGGACAGAAGGCAATTATCCAACTACCAGGGAGCATGGGAGGGACCACACATCAATGGCCTATGTTACAGAAACCCTCAGATCAGTGGAGCAGGAAGGTTAACGAGGAGGACACACGCTCACTTTTCGGGAGGCGAGGAACTCCATGCCCTTGGCCACTTGGTAGCTGTAGCAGATCAGATCCTCCAGGGTCAGAGGTCGTTTGGACAGATCTTCAGAGTCTAGGGAAGAGCAGAAGCCCATTGAGAAGGGCAGTGGATGGAAAGGGGACCCTAAAGAGCCAACCTCATCCACCTGGATGGCTAGAAGTAGGGACAGCTAGAGAGGAGAAGAGAGGGGAGGGCTGGGAGCACTGATTCCCCTGAGAATTTGATGGCGTGAAGAGAGAGAACAATGACATTCTCTCCATTCTGAAGGATAGCCAACTGTTGTCCCTTTGCTAATGAGACCCCAGTGTGTATTATTATACTGAAACCCCCCGGGACTCAGGGGAGGAATCTCAGGCTGCAGGGTTTCACAATCTGATGCCAGGGCACAAGACCATCCGGAGGTAGGGTTTGAGTACAACTCCCACATAAATATTCTGCTTTTTTCTTTTTTTTAAATTAAAAAAAATTTTTTTTAGGCAGTTGGGGTTAAGTGATTTGCCCAGGGTCACACAGCTAGTAAGTGTTAAGTGTTTAGTCTGAGGCTGGATTTGAACGGAGGTCCTCCTGACTTCAGGGCCAGTGCTCTATCCACTGTGCCACCTAGCTGCCCCCAAAGCTAGCATACTTCAAAAAAATCGAAATAACTCAAGCACAACTAGGGGAAAGAATCTGGAACTTTCAACAATTAAATTGAAATTGTCTTCAGGTTTTAAAAAATTCTATCTGATTTTTAAAGTGAAATAGCATCCTTTTTATGATATATAACCAGTTTGAACAGAAAATCCACTGGAGCCACTTGGACTAGCATCAGCAAAGACAGTAGAGAGACAGTTTCTTTTCTTTTCTTTTTTTGGCTAGGCAATTGGGGTTAAGTGACTTGCCCAGGATCACACAGATAGGTGCTCTATCCATTGCGCCACCTAGCTGCCCCTGAGAGACAGTTTCTGAAGAGAAAATGCATAACAGCCCAAATCCAGGAAATACGGTCTCCTATACTTATCATTTTGATTATTGGTGGAGATGAATCACTATATCTAAACTACTATTTGTACAAAGCAAAATCTTCAAAGTATACATTCAAAACACATCGGGAAGACAAAAGGGTTTTCCTAGAGAACAGTAAATGTTTTTAATGAGCAGAACCAAACTTTTTTTCAAAAACTATGCTTCTAACATCAAAAGGGTTGCTTACAGAATTGGTAAGTGTGAAAAACCTCATTTTAAATGGTGTCATCTGCAGCTACTGATGTGGTCGAAATGATGTTTGGTGATGCACATGCAAAGTAATTTCAATGGTTCAAAGTGATTTTGAATGGTTCCACATGTAGATGGGAAGAACTGCCTGTAGGCAGTCAACTAATTGAGAAATGAAAACCTTCCTATTCTACGTCAAAAGCGGATGAAACAACAGAGGTAGTTAAAGATGCTCATTTGATTACCTATGTATAGGATATTTTTGAAACTCCTGTTGGGGATTTGTTACTTTGATGATGGCAATGCCATATCAAGAGAGAAGTGGGGTTTTCACTTGATAATGAAATAATGTAGAAGATCTGTACTATACTATTCACTGAGATCAATTGACTTTGGGATGAAATGTGCCCTAACAGTACTAGGACATGGAATGTCAGAGCTGGAGGGGGCCATAAAGATCCTGTAAAACTCCCAAGTAGATAAGGCTAAAGGAAGAAGCCCAGTGCTCTATGTACTGTCCTTTCTTTAATCAACCCCTCATTCAGCCCAGCTTCCTGGGGCTCTCCCCTAGGTCCTGAAACAAGGGTTGGGGAGGGATGACAGTCAGGGCATTAGCAAAGCACATCAGTCTCTCACAGCCAGGCTATTGGGGAGCTACTGGGTAGAACCCACCTTCCTCTTCCTCCTCTGAGTCGCTATAGGTCTTGTCTTCGATGAAACCAGAGCTGGCAGAGCTGCCGGTGCTTGCGACACTTTCCAGACGCCGCTTGGTGAGCTCCGTGAGGTCACAGTCAGAGTCTTCTGCTTTCTTCTCTCCTTGTTCAGAGGTGTCTTGGGTCTGAGAGGTAGTTTCTCACAATTAATTTCTAGCTGGGGAAAACCCCTAGGCCTGGACATGGGAAGAAGCTGCCGAGCCCAGAAGGTCATTAGGTCTTCTTGGGGCTTGGAGCTAGTGTTACATTTCTCCCTTATCCAAAATAAGATCACCAGAAAGACTTATAACTCTAGATGTCTCATCATGGTGTCTTGGGGAGAGGGTCAGTGGCCATGCCAGACTCCACTATGTTAAAATAGCTTCAAATAGAATCCCAGGAATATGCTGAGTCAATCTAAGCTCAGTACGGAGGGGTCTGACAGCAGATGATGAGGAATTCTTTGCTCATGGCAACCCATGAAACAAAGAACAAAACAAATGGTCATCAGTCTCATCTGGCCCCCTCCTGCCTCTGTAGAGATAGTGATGAGTAGTGGGAAAGGGTGATCCCACCTTTCTGGAACATCTATAAACTTTGGCTAAATGTTTGATCCATATCTAACGACCAAAAGAGTGGACATATCAGAGGGAGAACTAAATCATAGCAATCTTGACATTTTCACTAGGGGGATGTGCTGCCCATGTGCTGAGAGGAAGAGGTGGCCCCAGATGCTCTATTGATCTCCTGGTAACATGAAGAAAAAGTAAAGAAGGCTTCCAAGGGGCTGAGAGGACACCCTGCGGTGAAATTATGGGAAGATATGGGCAAGAGTTATACTGGACTATAAATCCTGGTAAAGTTGCTCTCTACATTGTTGGAAAGACCATCTCCGTGGCTAATATAGCAGTTCCACTGGAGGTGAGGAGAGGAGAGGACAGGGGAGGAAAGTGGAGGGGAAGACAGGAGAGGAGAGGACAGGAGAGAAGAGGAGAGGAGAGGAGAGGGGGAGGGGAGGGGAGAGGAGGAGAAGAAAGGAGAGGAGAGGAAAAGAGGAAAAAAGGAGGGGAGAGGAAAAGAGAAAAAAGGAGAGGAAAAGAGAAAGGAGGAGAGGAGAGGGGAGAAGAAAGGAGAGGAGAGGAGAGGAGAAGAAAGGAGAGGAGAGGGGAGAGGAGGGAAGAATTAATAAGAGAAGAAAGAAAAAGGTTTGAGGAAGAGAGGGGTGATAGAAAGACCCTGGTGTTAAGGACTGGTACAGAAGATGTCTCAGACTGGAGGGATGGAAAACCCCTGACTTTTCTTTGGCTCTACTCACAATGTTGTTGTAAGGGTGAGGGTAGACCCAAATGGCTGCAATGCTAAGAACTTGGTGGAGCAGGTCTTCATTTGTGTTCAAATTCCACCAAAAAGCCCTGCCCTAAGCAAGAATCCCCTCCGCAGCCCCCTTTATAAGCAGTGATCCAGCTGATACTGAAAGCCCTCCAGTGAAACAGCCCCCACACCCTCGGGAGGCAGCTCAGCCCCCTTTGGGACAGCTCTCATTGCCAGGAATTTCCCCCTGAGTGCAAGCCTGACACCTTCCCTGAATTAGGTGTAGTTCCCTCCTCTGAGGGTAAGGAAGAGAAGGACAATTCTTCTTGCCCAGGATGTCCATTCAAACACTTGAAGGCATTAGGCATTTCCTCACCCAGAGCACTGTCTCCCCCAGTGGCAGAGAAACCCAAGAGCCCCATCACCAGGGTGGCCTTTACCTGACACCACTGGACTCCTGATCATTCCCCCTCTGGGGCTAAGAACAGAACTGGAGGTGGAGGACCTACCTTGAAGGCAATGAAGTCTCCTCTTTTCCCTCGCAGGAAGTTGGACAGATTTCCATACTTGCAGAACTCCACGATGACCATCAGCGGACCTGCCAGGGGGTTTACACACAGTCAGTCACCTTCCCTGTCCTCCCCTTGGTCCTTCCAGCACCCCCTGGCCCTGTACCTGGGAACCCACAATCTCTTCCATCAATGATCTCAAGGGATCACTGGATGATTGGGATGTGGGGGTTAGCCCCTGGAATCACGGTTGGCTGGATGGTGAACAAGGAACTGGAAGATTGCCCTCCTGGGTTCCCCTCCTTAGCCCCTAGGGCCTTAACCCTGGCAAATCTGAGGCCCAGGTACATGACATTCTGCTGTCTGCATCATCTAACAGACAGTACATTTTTTTTTTGGTTGAAGTCATTCTGCAAGAAGAGCTAGATTTTTGCCTACACACTGGTAAATGCTACTGAATGGCAGTGGGCACCCCGGGGAGCAGTTTTCACTGCCACTAAGATGTGCCAATTTCTGTTTCAAAAACCAAACCTATGTCCACAGCCTGAGAGCAGTAATCTCACTCTCCCTCCCTGCAGCCGCAGGAGCCTGGGTTTGAATTTCAGCTCTCCTGCTTAACACCATAGAACCCTCAGGAAAGCTCCTTTCACTCCCTGGGCCTCAGTTTCCTCCTCTGAAAAATGAAGAGGTTAGACCAGATGGCCTCCAGGGTCCCTTCCAGTTCCTAATCTGTGGTCTTAATGAATTATCACAAATTCCAAATTAGTGGAATGGGAATTCCTAAGAGCAGAATACTAAGTGAAGGGACTTCTGAGCTCACCTAGTCTACCTGTACCCCCCATCTTACAGCTAGGGCACACAAGGGCCCTGAGAGGTCATTTGAATTGCCCAAGGCCATATGCCAGTGGGTAGCAGACCCAGGATTCTTTTTTGTGGGGAGCTCTACATTGGTAGACTACAAGCGTGACGTCCAATCATGGCAGGGAGGTGACTCTGGCTTTGTCCAGGCTAGGCTGGCAGAGCACAAGCTCTGTCAGGTCCTACTGATCTCGAGAGGCTTCAAGTTATATCTGTTGCCTGAAGTTTAGCCCTGCTAGGGGAGCCAGAAGGCCCACCACGCATAGAGAAGTGGCCCTGATGGTGGCCCCAGCAGCAGAGGACAGGGCAGAGCAGGAGGTGGGATGGGGGGGAACTGAGGATGACATCAGCTCGGGGAGATAGACAAGATAGCATGACCCACAGCCTGTGGGTCACTCCTCAGGTGAACAATTCCAAAGTCTGACTTTGTAAATGGGGGGAATTTGGGGGGCAGGGGTGGGGGGGAGAAGCAGCACCATCCAGGATATTTTCAAGTTGTTTGTCCTTGAGAAATACATATGCAAGAAAAAAATTGCTCAACTCAGGAAGGGAAGGCACATTGAAGAGATCCTGAGAGGACATTTCTGATGGTCACAGGATCACAGAATCCTAGATCCAGAGCTGGAAGGGATCTCAGAGGCCCTCTAGTCCAGTCTCCTCATTTTGCAGATGAGGAAACTGAGGCCCAGTGAGGGGAAATGATTTGTACAAGGTCACACAAGTAAGGAAATATCAGAGCTTCTAAGCTCCAGATGAAACACACTTTTTGTGACCTTTTACCAGATGAAAAGTTTTCACTGTTGAGGAGAACAGGAAAGATCCCACAAGAGAGGAGAAGGGCAAATATTGGCCTGAATATTAAAAAGAGGAGGAGAATGAAGTCTGTGAACTCCAAGGCCAGTGAACTTGAATTCAGTTGCGGAGAAAATTCTGGAAGGAACTATTAAAGAGAAGGTTGGTGAATATCTAAAAAGGGAAGCAGTGATCACAGAGAGCCAGACTGGCTTCTTCAAGCACAGGACATGCCAGGCTAACCTCATTTCCTTTTTTGACAAGATTCCTAAATCAATAGATGAGGGGAATGCTGGGGATGTCATTTACCTAGATTGTAGGAAAATCATTAATCATCTCATATTGTTCTTGTGGAGAAGATGAAGAGATGCGGGTTAAGCATTAATAGGCTGAAATGGATTTGGAACTGGTTGTATGGTTAGACTCAAAGAGTCATTTAATGCCAATGCAGCAGGAAGTCGCCAGTGGGGTGCCCCAGGAATCTGTTTGGCTTTGTGCTATTTAACATTTTTACCAATGACTGACTTGGATAAAGGCCTAGAAAATGCGCTCATCACATTTACAGAAGACATAGAGCTGGGAGGGTGAGCTAACACAGAGGATGACAGTCAAGATTTCAAAAGTCTCAGTAAACTAGAGCACAGGTTCTTACTGGGGTCTGTGAACTTGTTTTTAAAATATATTTGAATAACTGCACTTTAATATAATTGGTTTCTTTTATAATTATGTGTAGGGACAGCTAGGTGGTACTGCAGCGGATAGAACACAGGGCCCAGAGTCAGGAAGGCCTGAGTTCCAATCTGGCCTCAGACACTTACTAGCTAGATGACCCTGGGCAAGTCACTTCACCCTGTTTGCCTCAATTTCCTCATCTGTAAAATGAGATAGAGAAAGAAATGGCAAACCACTCCAGCATCTTTTTTGAGAAAACCCCAAATGGGGTTACAAAGAGTCAGATGTGACTGAAATGACTGAACAACAACAAAAATAATTCTATGTATTTTATTTTCTGCATTTAAAAACATAAGTCTGAGAAGGGGACCCTAGGCTTCACTAGTCTGACTGCCAAAGGAGTCCAGGACACAAAAAAGGCTCAGGACCTTTGGGCTATGGCATTGGGTTGAATCTAATAACATTAAATTAAATGAGGATAAAAGTAAAGTTTTATATTTGGGTTTAAAAAATCAATGTCACAAGGATAGGGTGGAGAGGCCTGCTTACATAGCAGTTTGACAAAGATCTGGGTGTTTCATGGATTATATGTTCAGTAGCTGGAGATGACTGAGTGGCAAAATGGAGAAAGCTCTGGGCCTGGAGTCAGGAAGACCCCAGCTCTGAGTGGCTGTGTGAGTCTGGGCAAGGCACTAAACCTCAGTCTCCTCATCTGTAAGATGGGGATAATAATAATAATAATAATAATAATAATAATATATTATTATTATTATTATTATTATTATTATTATTATAATAACTCCCAGGGTTGCTGTGAGGATCATCAAATGGATGACATTTGAAAAGTGCTTTGCAAACCTTAAAGCAATATATAAATGCATGCTATTATTATTATTAAGGTGCTGCAATAGTTCCTAATCACTCTATAGATAATTCATCTTAGGTGCAGTGAATAGAGCACTGGGTGCAGTTGGGAAGACCGGAGTTCAAATTCAGCCAAAATTTAGTTCAGATTCAGTTCAGACTCTTACTAGCTGTGGGACCCTGGGCAAGTCATTTATTCTGCTTGCCTCAGTTTTCTCTACCTCCCAGGGTTGTTGTGAGGATCAGTTGAGATAATGTTTGTAAAGTGCTTTGCAAACCCTAAAGTGATGTAGAAATGCTAGCTATTACTACTACTACTACTACTACTACTACTACTACTACTACTACTACTACTACTACTACTACTACCAACAAGAATATGAGTCAGCAGTATGATGTAACAGACAAAAACACTCATGTGAGCTTTGGCTGCATAAAGAGAGTCATTTATCCATGTTTCAGGAATAAGGAGCTGCTAGTCCCACTGTCCTCTGTCCTAGTTTGACCCTACCATGTGAGGTACTGTGGTCAGCTCTGGGTATAAAATATTAGGAAAGACATTGCCCAGTACGCAGAGCACCCAGAGGAAGGCAACCAGGTTAGGCCCCCTTTTTAAGGGGCCTGAGTCCCTGTCAGTTGAAGATTGGTTGAAGGAACTGGGTCTGGTCAGTCTGGATGAGATAAGACTTAGTAGGGGGAGGGACAACATAGCTGCCTTCAAGTATTTGAAAGGCTGACATGGGGAAGAGAGGTTAGCCTTGCTCTGGTTGTCCCCAAGAAAGAGTCAGAAACTGGAGGAAAGTCGTAGAGAGACCAATTTAGGCCTGGTGTCCAGAAAACCTGCCCACCAATAGGAACGTCCCCAGGTAAACTGAGCTGCCTCAGAGGCTCCCCTTCATCACTGAAGAGCTGGATGGCTTCTGGTTGGGCATGTTATCCTGGAGAGTTTGGGTCAGATATAGTTAGACCAGAGGATCACTGGGGTCCTTGCCAACTCCAAAGTTTTGGGAGGGTGAAGTGGCCTCTAAAGGAGCCAGGCCAAGAAGCTGGCCAAAGGATGGGGGCTGGCCCTGGAGATCTCTCCATGGTACTCTCTCCCTACTGAGAGGCCTCACCAGCTAGCTCCTGGTCACTGTTACAACTAGTGCATTTCTGCTCTTAGGGGACAGAGGAATGGGCCAGAGCATCCTGCTTGACTCTATTGACTCAGGTCCTCAGGATCTGCCAACATGGGCCTACTCTGTGGGTCTGACTCTTACGCTTCTCAGAGCTGGTGGCTCCCATCCTAGGGTCCCCTTCTCAAACCTCAGGGTACAGGGCTCCCCCAGGGAAGCGACACTCTTGGGGCATTGCCAGGCACATCAGAAAGGACCAGTGTGGCTATCAGAATGGCCACAGGGGCCCCAGGGCAAGTAACTCCCAATGGGATGAGCAGAACCCAGGGAGGATGGGGGTCTCCTTGAGATGGTACAGCCAAGCTTCAGAACAGGGCAATTTTTCTTCTGTCTCAGTTCACGCTGCTCCGAGCAAAGAGGCTCAGTGGTTAGGGAGAGGCCCTGCTGTGGGCATGTTGCCTGGATACAGCTGAGCCCCGTTAGATCCACGTTCCTCATTGTTTAGCTTGGGGCATATGTGGAGGGCTGTTATTTCACCTGCTTCATCTGTTACAGTCACAATGACACATTTGGGCAGCAGCTTCCCTTCCTTATGGCCTCTCATACCCAGGATGTCTTCAGCCCCCTACAACATGGCCCCATGATGGATAGACGAGGGACCTGCTATTGAGTCACTGGGTGCTTGCCGTCCAGCTACTCAGATATGGCCCTCAGGGAGCTTTCTGTTCATGGAACCCCTACAAGTTAGAATCCGTTTTCTTTACACTTGAGAAACCTCAACAGTTAAGTTGTTAACCCCAGTTCACCTACCACATGCTCCTCATGGTGGCCCAGGACCCTGAACCAAAGAGCCCTGGGAATAGCAGCTCCCCCCAGGACACTGGTCTGGCTTGTAGTCTGACCCATACAGCCAATCATCGAGGGGAACAAGTCCTGATGGGACTGTTTCTCACTCCATCCTTATCTCCCCACCTCCACTCTTGGATCCAGTGACCCTAGCCTCCTCGCTCTTCCTCGAACAAGACCCTCCATCACCTCCTGACTTCAGGCATTTGCACTAGCTGGGTCCCCTGTGAGGAACACACTTCGTCATCACCTCTGCCTCCTGGCATCCCTGGCTTCCTTCAAGTCCCAACTCAAATCCCACTTTCTATGGGAAATCTCTCTGATTGCCCCTTAATTCTAAGGTCTTCCCTCTGTTGATTATTTCCTATTTATCCCATGTAAAGCTTGTTCGTACATAGTTGTCTACGTGTTGCCTCTTCTATTAGACTGTGAACACCTTGAAAGCTGGGACTGTCTCTTGCCTCTTTTTGTATCCCCAGAATTTAGCACAGTGCCTGGTACATTGCAGGCATGGGTAAGAGGAACTAAGACAGAAAAAGTAGATAGATGTTACGTGGTAAAGGCTGGAAATCCTGTATTTTATCCAAGAGGCAATGGGGAACCATTGAAGATTCTTGACTTAGGGGAGAGGAGGACATTGTCAGATGTGTGTTTTTGGAATATTGATTTGACAGCTGCATGGAAGGCAGAATGTAGGAGAGAAAGATTAAATTTAATTAAAGTGTGTGTGGTGGGGGGTGGAGTGGTACTCATTGGGAGGCTGTTATAATAGTTCAGGTGAGAAAGGCTAGAGGTCTAAACCAGGATGGTGGCTTTGAGTGGAGAGAAGGAAATGGATGTGAGAGATGTTTGTGACGCAGAATCGACAAGAACTGGTGGCTGGCTGGACATCGGAGGTGAGGGTGAGGTATGAAAGAGTCAAGGAGAAGTCCCAGGTTTCTGGCATGGGCCACCAGAAGGGTGCTGATGCCTTCCACAAAAATGGTGAGGTTTGGAGGAAGGATGGTTTAGAGGAAATGTATTGTTCTGGAATTGTTGAGCTGGAGATGCCTGTGGGCACACAGGTAGAGGCAGTTGGTGACTCGAGCCAAAGAGGCAGAGATGGGTATGGAGATGGGGGGCAGTCATTGGCATGAAAGTGCTAACGATGCCAATGGAGGCCATGGAACTGCCCAGGGAGAGGGAGGAGATGGAAAGGGCCTGGAGCAAAGTCTAGGGCTGCGCCATTCTTTGGGGAAGGGAAAGATCAGAAGCCAGGAGAAGGAAGCTGAGGAGAGGGCATTCAGGTAGGGGGAGAACAGGTAGGGAGAAAACAGAGTCACAGAGAGCAAGGGAGGTGAGAGTGGCCACGAGGCAGGGGCCATTGAGAGCTGCTGACAAGTCAAGACAGATAAAGACAAAGGCCAGCATCTTTGCAAGTTAAGACAACACAGAGTCTTGGGGAGTGGGCTTTCAGTTCAGTGACAGGCTCCAAAAGTAGAATTCAAGGGGACTGAGAAGCCCAGGTCTGGAGGCAGGGAGTGTCATTCAGTACCTTATCTCTGTCTCTGTCTCTCTCTTCCTCTGTCTCTCTTGCTTTCTCTCTGTGTGCCTCTCTATCTCTGTATCTTTGTCTCTCTCACTGTCTGTCTCTTTGTCACTGTCTTCCTCCCTGTCTCTCATGTCTTTCTCTTTGTGTCTCCATCTCTATCTGTCTCGCTGTCTCTCTGTCTCTATCTGTCTCTGTCTCACTGTCTTCCTCTCTGTCTCTGTCTCTCTCAGCCACTATACATCATTCCCACATCTGCCAAGCTGAAGACTCTTCTCGAGGGCCCTGGGCTCTAGAGGGCACAGGGGGAGCCAGGGGATAACCCATCCATTTTCTCAGAAATCCCTACCCCAATCTGAGCCTGAGCCCAGGAACAGAGATTTCATTTCAGAGCTGGGTGCCTCTGGGCAAGTCACCAAGCTCTCAGTGTCTGCAGGCAACTCTGGCATCTGCATTGCCCAGAGAGCGGCCTTGCTGGAGGTTCCCTGTGCCACTGACATCAGGAGGCCAGGCTAAAAAAGAGGCACCCCAACTTTCTCCTTTGCACCCCAGAGTCTGAAGAACATTGGTGGTGTGAGCGCTGGGGGCTGTAATAGCCAAGGGCCATGAGCTTGGAGGCAGGGCTTCCATTCTCTAGCCAGCCTCCTGCCCTGGCTTGCCAGCACTGCCCAGCTGATCTTCCTTCTCATCAGATCTGCTGATGTCACTCCTCAGAGAAGGGAAAATGCCCTGCTGAGTGACCCTGAGCAAGTCACTTCACCCTGTCTGCCTCAATTTCCTCATACATAAAATGAGCTGGAGAAGGATATGGCTGAAAACACTCCAGTATCTCTGCCAAGAAAACCCCAAATAGACTCATGAAGAGTCAGACATGACTGGAAAATGACAACACAAGGGCTGGGAAAAAGGGAGACAACAGTGGTCATCTCCACAGAGATTCTCTATTCACTTACTTTTCATCCACTTACTTACCCCTGTCCCAGGCTACTTTTATCACAGCACCATACATAGGGATCACAGAATCAGAAATCTCTTGCTGGAAGGATCCTCAGAGACCAGCTAGTCCAACCCATTTTATGGAGGGGGAAACTGAGGCTCAGAGAGGGGAATCAACTTGTCCAAGGTCATACACAGGATCCTAGACATTGAGCCCAAATTTGCCTCTTTGTAACCTCCCCCTCATCATTCCTGGTTCTACCAGAACAAGGTTAATTCCCCCTCCACAAGACAGACCTTCAAGTACCTGAACACAGCTATCAAGCTATCATGTCCCATCCCCCAACCCCACCCCTGCCCTGAGCCTTCTCTTCTTCAGGCTAAACATTCCCAATTCTCTCATTTTACAGAGATGGAAACTGAGGACTAGACAGAGGAAGTGACAGGTCCAAGGCCACACAAGCACCAAGTGACAGGGCTGGGATTCGAACCTATGTCCTCTAATCCCAGCCCTGTTACTCTCTGTATCACACACTGCCATACATGTGATAAAGCCTTCACACATGTGGGTGATTACCATTAAGGGTTACAAGGCCCATTTCTCACAACAACCCCGAAAAGCAGCCAGAATCAGCACTCGTATCCCCAGTTTACAGTCTAAGAAACTGAAGCTAGAAAGATGACTTGACTAGGGTCACAGTGTCAGTGGCAGGGAGGGGACTTCACTGTCATCATCATGGGCATTTCTTCACAGCTAATTGGCTGACATGACTTCACTGGCCCCTCAAGGCAACCCTGATAGAAACTCTAGATATTATCTCCATTTTATAGAGAAAGAAACTGAGGCTATGAAGTGTCAAAGGTGAAAGTCAAACCCAAGTCTCTCCTGACCTCAAGTCCATCACACTAGCCATGACAACACACTGATGTGAACTTTCTTTCTAAAGGTCTAGTATTTCCTCCATCATGCTGACTTTTCTATCAAAATATCAATTAACATTTATTAAGTACCAACTATTTGCCAGACACTGGGGATGCAAAAGTGAAGAATAAGATAGTCCTTACTCATACAGAGTTTACATTTTCATTTTTTTCGGCTAGGCAATGGGGTTAAGTGACTTGCCCAGGGTCACACAACTAGTAAGTGTTATGTATCTGAGGCCGGATTTGAACTCAGGTTCTCCTGAATCCAGGGCTGGTGCTCTATCCACTGCGCCACCTAGCTGCCCCACATTTTCATTTTTGTAGACCTAATGAGAGGCAGGAAAACAGAGCTCGATTACAGACAGAACCTCTGATTTTGAACCATCTGTACCCCCAACTCTTAATCCTTTTATGTTTTATACTGGACACAACATGGCTCATTTAGGGGTGTGTGCATTGGAGAGGGAAGAGGAAACCTGCTTTGAATACACTACCATCTTGGAAGGGCCAGACTCTTGGGGATCATAGGATGATAGATTTTGAACTGAATAGGTCATCTAGACCAATTACCTCCCTTTACAGATGAGGAAACTGAGGCAGACAGCGGTCAGGAGACTTACTCAGGGTCACCCAGGTAATAAATATATGGCAGAGCTGTGATCTGAACTCAGGTCTTCTACCTTCAAACTCAGTACTCCTTGCACTGGAGTACCCTGGGGCTTGGTTGTCCATCCTACCTAGGAGTTGAGAGGGAGGGAGATGTCCCCACTCTCAGAACTCTTACCTCCAGGCTTGGTGCAGGCTCCCAGCAGGTTGACCACATTTAGGTGGTGGCCGATGTGGATGAGGATCTTGAGCTCTGACATCAGGGCCTTGCACTCATTGGATGTTGCACATTCTGCAAAAAGGTCCCAGGACGGCCATCAATACAAAAGGGGATGTTTGTTTGTCAGGGCTGCTGGGGGTGGGGGAGCATCTCAGATCCTGTTTACTGATCCAACTGAGGATGCCAGCAGGAAGGGGCTGAACACAAACACCCTGATGATTAGTGGTTGTACTCGAAAAACAATACCATAAACAGATAAATAGTGCCTTGGGGCCTACTGGCCTGCCAGCAACCTGAGAGCTAATGGTATCCTGGGCCTCAAGTCCTTTTCCTCTTTCCTTCCTTAGAATGCCTCTGTGGTGGCTTCCTCTGTGCTTAACCCTTTCAGGTCAAGAGAGAGGCCTGGAAGAGGTCATCAAATATGTGACCCTTGATAGTTTGGGAAAATCAACCAATTATCCCCAAGGGGGCCACCAATCTAAATCCTCTTTCTCAATGTCAGAAGATCCTGAGGCTGGTGGCTCATTACCCAGTGGTTGCAAGACCACCATGGAAGGGGTTTCCACCACCTACCAAGCCAAAGTGTTATCAGTGGCCCCTGATCCTGAATGGCTAAGGAACCATAGGAAGATGGAGGGACTGAATGGTTGAAAGTGGCCATTTCTAGGCTCTGGTCAGCCTCATTTCCTTCTCTGCTTTTCCAATGTTGCTTTAAAGCCAACAGATGGAGTGAACATACAGGGTTAATACCAATCTCTTAGCTCAGTGTCCCACTCATCCATTTCAGCTGGTCCTTATTTAGGAATTTGGATATATTTTAACATTCTGTGTTCTAAGAAGCTAGTCCAGAGAACAAGAACTAGAGCTGGGAGGGGAACCTCAGAATGAAGAAGGTCAGAGGTAGGGGTGGGGTGTTCTTAGATATCATCTAAGTCCCAACTCCTCATTTCAGAGAAGAGAAAGCTGAGGCCCGGAGGAGTGAAGTCCCTTATCCCAGGTCCCTCTGCTCATCAGTTATTGTGGCATCAGTTATTATCATCAGTGGCAGAGCAGGACTTAGGACCGAGGTCACCTGGTTTGAAGGCCTGGGCTCTTCGTCTCCAACCATTCACACTTGCCTCTTCCCCATCTCTGCCCAAAGCTGCTACCCAAGCCAGACCATTTTAGCTGTTCTCTGTGTACTATTGAAGGGCACTCTGATGGGGCAAAAAGGAGATGCTGCATGTGCCCAATTCCTTCCCAATCCCACTGGCATGAAAGCTAGAGTCAGTGTCTAAAGTGGAGCATGGATCTCCTTAAGGTGAACGTTTCCCTAGGTTCCCCTACGGCAAAGAGTGAGCACTTCCTCTCTAGTGGGACCATGTAACTTCCTTCATTTGTGGGCTTTGGGCTCCCTGCAGGAAGGTGTTTTGGAGCTGAGCTTTCCAACTGAACTCAGAGCTACTAAACAACACGATAGATCTTCTGTCTGGGGTATGGTCTACAGGGAATATTCAGGCACAGGGTAGTTCAAGTGGAGGCTGGATTACTCCTTTGTCAGAGTTCCTGCAGAGGAGCTTCTTGACCAGGTAGGAAGTGGAACCTTCTAATTCCAATCTGGATTCACTAATATCTCTAAATCAAACCCAACTTGCCTCTCTTGCTTGGATCATGTTCTCTTCTCTTGTTGGGGCATGAGCCTTAAAGTGGCCCTGCAGGAAGACTGTTTGTCCTGTCCTGCCTGCTGACATCCATAGGGCCAAGAGTATAACAATGATAATAATAATGATAACAATAATAATAACAACAACAATAACATTTATATAGTACCTACTATAATGCCAGGCACTGTGCTAGGTGCTTTACAATTATTAACTTATTTGATCCTCACAACAACACTGGGAGGTAGGTGCTATTGTTATCTGCATTTTAAGGTTGGAAAAACAGGCAGACAGAGGTTAAGTGACTAGTCCAGGGTTGCACAGGAAGGAAATGTCTGGGGCAGCATTTGAACTCAGGTTTTCCTGACTCCAGGCCTGGTGCTCTATGCACCATAGCAGCCCCCTGTTTTGGACTAACACAGGGCTCTGAGCACAGCAGGAACTCAGAATTGGTGAGAAGCTTGTCCCTATTAGGAGCCTGGGTTCTCCACCCTCCAAAGCTCTTGTGGCCCACTCATGCCCAGCCTCCTCAGCAAAGATGCTCCCTGGGTGACAGCCAAGGGAAACATTACCTTTCAGCATTTTCACAGCCACCGTTTTGCAGGTTGAAGATTTGTCAATGCCAAAGGCGGACGCCTCCACCACCTTCCCAAAGGCACCGTGACCCAGGGTCTTCCCTTCAGGGGTAAGAGGGGAGAATGAGCAGCAGGAAGCAGGGAAGCAATAAAAGAGCTGCAACCATTCCCACGACATAATAGCAGCCCCATCCTTGCAGCCCAGACACCGAGCAGATTGAGACACTATCTGAGCAGGTCGGGGGACAGAGAGAGTCATTTAAAGCTTCCCCCTGAGGCTTTAAATGGCAGGAGTGAATCTCAAGGAGAATTTAGAGACCTCTACAACAGAGACCGTAGAGGGTATCTGGCCCAATCTCCCCACTTTACAGAAGAAGAAAGCAAGGCCAAGAGAATTGAGGGAACTTGCCCAAGTTCACACAGTTAGGAAGTAATGGAAGCAGCATTTGAACTCAGGTCTTCTCATTCTAAAGCCAGTTTCCTTCCACTGAAATCCTTCATTCCCATTTTACAAAAAAACAAAAAACAAAAAACTGAGGCTCAGAGACGTAAACAAGCATACCTAAAGTCACAGAGCAAGTCAGTGGAAGAGGCGGGACTTTACCCTGGGCAATTTCCTCTCCATACCCTACAGATGATGGCATGTCTACAGAATAAGGCTGGCCCCCAGTGCTCAAAGACTCTTAAGAGATGAGAAAGAGGCACACCACCTACCCCACCCACCCATCATCAAGAGGATGCATTTCTGATCTGAGCCTCAGTTTCCTTAGCTGTAAAATGAGGACAGTAATTAATACTCATACTCCTTCCCTCACAAGGAAGATGAATGGCAGGTCTTTGGTAAATGGGAAAGGCTCTTGACCAAGGATATATGGCAGAGACTCATTTCTGCTCAAGTGCGCCACCAGATACTTGGAAAGACAAAATGATGGATTCATCTTCCTTCACTACTATAAGGCTGACTTTTCTCTGGACTTCCTTAGCAACTCTGGAGGGGGCTGGGAGGGCAAGAGAAGAAGATGCGCAGCTTACCCAACCGTAAGCGATCTCTGGGAAATTCCCATTTGCTGCTATCGTAAGGCAGTTGGTCACATTGCTGGTCAAGAGGCACCTCTTCGGGGTCCATGATGATGGAGAGATATCCTGTTTTGATGTCAGGGGCGTTGGGCTGCAAGGGGACAAAGAAAACCAGGTCTTAGTAGGTTTTCCTGTTCCCACTGCCCCATGTGGCACTCCAGTTTCTTAGTCTGCCTTCAGTAGTGGCTTGGCAGGCTGAAACCAAATGGTGTCTTAGCATGGTGGGAAGAACATTGGAAATCTGGGTTCTAGCCTTGGCTCCACTGTCCATTCGCTTTGTGACCTTGGGAAAGTCATTTCTTTTCTCTAGGTCTCAATTGCCTCATTTGTAAAGCAAAAGGGAAAGAACTAGGAAAGGTTCCTTACAGCTCTGACAGTTTATGTTCTTAAAGTCTTCAAAAGTCTTATCCAACTCTGATATTCTGTGTTCTAAGAGGCCTCCCAGCTTGGACATTTTGTGTTTGAAGGTACCGCCTACCTCTGACATTCTATGTGCTGCTGTTTTGACATCCTGTGTTCTAGGACCCTCTCAGCTTGGGTATTCTGTATTGTAAGGTCCTTCCTCGCTCTGACATTCTGTATTTTAAGAGCCTTCCCAGCTTAGGTGTTCTGTATTCTAAGATCCTTCCTAGCTCTGACATTCTGCATTCTAGGAGCCCTCTAGCTCTGACATTCTGTGTTCTAAGAGCCCTCTAGTTCTGGCATTCTGTGTTCTAAGAGCCCTCCCAGCTTTGACATTCTGTGTTCTAAGAGCCCTCCCAGCTTGGGTATTCTGTATTCTAAGATCTTTCCTAGCTCCAGCTAGTCTCTGTTCTAGTCAGCTCCAGAGGGTAGAATTAGAAGTGGTGGGCAGATGTTGCCACCTTCCTAACAGGTATCCTAGAGTGGAATGGACTGTCTCAAGAGGGAGGGAGTTTTCTGTCTTCAAGGAGAGGATAGACATTTTGATGGCGATGGTGGATGTCACTGGCATCATTGGTGATGTTGGAGAGGGCATTCTTGGCCAGGCAGGGCTTTGACTAGTCACTGTCTGCCTTCTGAGGCCCCTTACACTATGGAGAAACCAATGCTCTTTCCTCCCCAAAATGAAGCTCAGTAAATGAGATGACTGGCTGAGCTCTGACCCTTTTAATGGTTGGCTGTAATTCCTCTACCATGGGGTTCTTAGAACAGCAAAAGGGACTTAAGAACCGTTCTTGTCCTTGGGAGGGAACAAGAGTTAGGAGAAACATAATTTACCACTTGGTGAAAGACTTGAGCCATCCATCACACTCTTATGTTAGAGAGAAGAGTAGTAGCTAATAGTCATAAGAGTGAGTGTGCCTGTGATGCTTTACAAAGATAATGTCATCTGGTCCTCACAACAGCCCTGAGAGGCAGGAGGCAAAACAGGGTAAAGTGACTTGCCCAGGGTCACACTGCTAATGTCTGAGGCAGCACTTGAACCCAGGCCTTCTTGGATCCTGGGCCAGCTGTCTCTCACTCTCTCCCAGGCAGTGCCCTCCTCTATGTAGGGCAGACCCCTCTACCCTATCTTCTGCCAAAGACCTCTCAGAGGTCTCTGGCAACATTCAATGTGAAAAACGCCAGCTGTCCATGCTTAGGGGTCAAATGGCATCCAATTTTCAGCCCTAATCTTTTCCCCCTCCCTGCCAATACCTAAGGCCCTAAAGAGCGGCCAAGAAGCTAGTCCTCCTACATTGCCAGGGCCCAGAACTGTAAAATTTAGAGCTGGACAGAGTCTCAAAGTTCATCTAGTCCAGCCTCTCCACCCCACTCCATTTCCCCTCCCCCACTCTACAAAAGAGGAAACTGAGGCCCACGTGGCGGTGCCTCCATGCCCATCCAGTGCCTCCCTCATACCTTTCTGAGTTTTCGAATGACCAGGGTCAACAGGAGCCAAAAGAGGGTGGCCGCTAAGCCGGTACACACAAGGATGATGACCTCAACACTGGAGCGCTCCTCTGAACCTATCAAGAAGGCAGCAGGGACAGAACGAGTGGATAAAATACATGAGTTCAGGCTAGAGCAGATGGACCAAAGATGTGTGGCCTTATAAAGGCTACCATGCTGCTAGATGCCTACGAGCAAGCCCAGGCACCAAACTCTGGGCGTGTGAGTATGTGTGATGTGTGTGTATGGGTGGGTGGGAGTGCGTGTCAGTGTGTTGATATTTACTGAGTGTGGGCTTGTCTTTCTGAGACAGATGGCAGGAGCTTCAGGGAGGAACTCTCTTGTCTGTTCAGAGAGGCGAGGGGATTCAGAGCTGCAAGAGACCCTAGGGCTCATGAAGTGTAACTTCCTCATTTTACAGAGGAGAAAACAGAGATAGGCAGGGAAGGGACTTACCCAAGGACATGTGGCTAATTAGGGGAAGAGTCAGGACCAGAGCTGAGGTCAATTAATCAAACAATTAGCAGGCAAACAGTTATTAGGCACTTACCAAATGCCAAGCACAGACATAAATGAATTAGTTATCTCTTCCACACCATGGGGGTTAGGGGCATTGTGTCCCTACAACTTAGAAAAACCACACAAAAATTTTTGGCTCTCCCTTTATATCAGAAAAGAAGTCTGAATTCTTTCTTTTATGGGGTATCTATATTACACAATACTATACATACATTTTATGCATTTCTGAGTTTCTAAACTTTTTCTGTGTCGTCTGCTGGCCTTCATGTGCTGGCTGTCTACAGCATCTGCAAAACTCCCAAAAAATTCCCCAAAAATTCTCATGCCAAACTGCCAATATATCAAAACCATGACAGGGAGAATAGCGATGTGGAAGGGATAACTGTAGTCCCTGCCCTCAAGGAGCTTACATTCTATCAGCAGGGCCATCCTGTATAAGAGCTTGAGAAGACTGTAAGAGATCTTTCTACTTTCAGCTTCTGTGACAGAAGGTTATGGGAGAAAAAGCAGAAGAAAGAAGTGCTTGAGATGAATAAGAAGAAAGAAATTGTGTAGGTGATTTGGAAGGGGTTAGCCTTGCAAAGAAGGCTGGAGATTCAACTCGGGGAGGAGAGATTTGGGAGAAATTGAGGATATTTGAAGGAGAATAATGTTCAGGCCTAGATTCTGATTCTAGCTTCTGGGAGAGAAAGTTAAAGGAAGGCATCAAGGTGGACTAAGGAGGCGTAAGGGGGAGGAACCTGAAGAGAATGACAAAGTGAAGGATAAGAACAAGGTAGTTGGCAAGGAAAAGCGAGCAAGGAAAGGCAAGGAGGGTAAACTGGTGGGTAAAACAAATAGGTCAAGTAGAAAAGACTAATCCCAGGGACAGGGGAGATGGGCTGTGACTTCTGGAGAAAGGAAGTTGGGTGGGACTATCAAGTGACTATGAGGTGCTAAAGTAGTCTGCAAACTCTTAAAAAACAAGGCTAAAAATCTCAATTGATATGGAAAGCAGGATGAATTTTGCAGTGTGGTACAATGTTTGTCTTCCTGCATAGATGAGTGACTGTTATCTAGACCCCCAGGTGTAAACTTGTCTCCTTCCTATAAGAAAAAGCAAAGGGATGCAGGGGTAGGGAACTTGTGGCCTCAAGGCCACATGTGACCCTCTAGGTCCTTGAGTGCAGTCCTTTGACTGAATCTAAACTTCACAGAACATTTCCTCTTAATAAAAGGATTTGTTCTGTAAAACCTGGACTCAGTCAAAAGGCCACACTCAAGGACCTAGAAGACCATGTGTGGCCTCAAGGTCTCAGGTTCCTCACCCCTAGATTAGAGGGATGACCCTTGGCCCTTCAGGTTGTCAAGAACAATGAAGTGCTCCTAAAAATGGAAGCTAGCAGAAGGAAACTTGGTCATGAGGTCAGAGAGTGGAAAGATGTCACATGGAGGATGATGGGAGGGAGAAGACGAGGTGTATACTTGGGGCTCAGAAACAAATCTGAGGTCCTTTCTGAAGAGGAAGAGATTGTTGCTGTAAGAGAAAGCAGCTGTGTATCCTCCAAGGAATGGTATATGAGCCACAGAAGCTATCAGATGAGTGACCATTCAGTAAAGGTGATGGACAGTAGTGCTGGCATTCACTGCTTGGGGGAATTGAGGCAGATCTGCTCCTAATAATACAGAGAGGTCTGTTGTCTTTCCAGGGACCTTTATCCAAGATATAACAGAGAACCTCCCAAGAGTGAACCAAATGGATAAGTACTGTTCACTTCTGGTAATTCAGATGGGTACAAATGATCCTTCCAGAAGGAACTGAAAAATGCTGCCAAAGCTTACAAAATCTTGAGCAAGAAACTAGACCATGTGGACACAGCTTGTGTTTTCCTTGCTGCTTACCCATTGATGGCAAGGGTAAAGTAGAGTAAAATTGATTTGGGAAGGAAATAGTTTGCATTTCTAGACCACGGCTTAAGATACATGGAATGACAGGCAGGGATGAAGTGTCCTTAAAAAAGGCTGGTTAAAAATGTATTGGTCAAGTGTCTTGTAAATCTAACCGAAGGGACTTTAAACTAAAAAGCATAAGGAGGCAAGAAGACAGCCCATGGAGATCCAGCAAGGGGAGATACAATAGTTATAATGAAGGAAGGAGCATAGCAGTTAGGGCACCCAGATGTTCATAGGAGGCTGAATCCAAGAATGGCCTCCAATCTCAATCCCAAAGGCCCAAAGTTTAGGCAACGGGCAAGAGCAGGGGGGGGAACCTGTGGCCTCGGAGGCCACATATGGCCCTCTAGGTCCTCAAGTGTGGCCCTTTGACTGAATCTAGACTTCACAGAACAAATCCCCTCTAGGTCCTCAAGTGCAGCCCTTTGACTGACTCCAAATATTCACAGAACAAATCCCCTTAATAAAGAGATTTGTTCTGTAAAACTTGGACTCAAAGAGTTGCACCTGAGGACCTAGAAGGCCACATGGGCCTTGAAGCCTGCAGGTTTCCCACCCCTGGGCAAGAGTAACTTCAGATGCAAATGCAAGGAGGTATATTTGACTTCACAGGTGTCACTGCAACTTAGGGGAGGTGGAGTGTGGAGACTGTGACTAGAACATAGCTCTGCATAGGCTTAGCTTATTCAAAAGACACAGAATAGGTAAATGGTGGGGCATTACTGTATATTCGAAAAATATACTCATGGGAGGAAATCCAGGAACCAGGGATTGGAAAATGTGGTGGAGAACATTTGGGTGAAGATCAATGGAGCCAGAAACAAAACTGATTTTATCATGTGAGAATAATATAGACACCCCCCCTTCCCCCTAGAGATGAACTTCAAGAAGGATAAGGGTCAAGGTCAGTTTAGCACAAGTTGAGTTTGAGATGCCTATGGGACATCCAGTTGGAGAGTCCAAGAGGTAGTTGCTGAGGTGGGACTGGAGGTCTGAAGAGAGGTTAGGGCTGGATCTGTAAATTAAGAAATCATCTCTATAGAGATGATGACCGAACCCATGGGAGCCCTGTTTTGATGGATCACTAACTATGATAAAATGATAATGATGATGATAACATTTATAGAATTCCTATCATTCTTCTGGTAAGATGGAAGATCATGAGTCCTTACTATCTTCCCTGTGACTACACCCTCTAGTGCTCCAGGCATTGCCACCTGCCCTACCAATGAACCTTCAGAACTTCTTGGCTTTTCCATCCACCCAGCAGATGAACTCTCCTGGAAGTGTGAGACTGGGGACTATCTCCCTCTTCAATTTGCCAGTGTTTAGCAAATAGGAAGGGCCTACTTTTTTTTTTGCATTCATTCATTCAGTGATTTTGCATTCACTCATTCATTCTGTGATTCATCCAGTCAAATTCCCTTATTTTATTCCTAAATTACTACGCTCTTTTCATTATGCCACGCTGGACTAGAAGTCCAATTTCAAAAGCAGACAAAGGTAGGCATTCATGCATGCTTAACATCTGATGATCAGAATTCTAAGTGTGTCCATGTGAGGCTTTTAGGCCAGAGGTTCCAACTCACCTGCCACAGTAATAAGGGCTGAGGTGCTCACTTGTCCTATCTCATTGGTGGCTTTGCACTTGTAGGTGCCTTCATCATCCTTCTTAGCTCGTTCAATAACCAGGGTGTTGTTTTCCAAGGAGATGCCTGAAATGAGGATTGGCCCCTTAGTGATAGAATAGCCTGACTGGGCTCCCTGGATCCAGGAAGTCAACTCTTCTCAAGGGGCTCCATGTAAATGGAGATTCTGCTAACTGCAAAGGACATTCCCAGGACAATGAGGCCTTAGTGAGGTTTTCCTCTCTCCATTCCCAATCCCTTACCATCAGCCCTCTTACAGAGAGGCTTTCTTTCCTTCCTTCCTTCCTCTTTTTCTTTATCTCTCTCTCTTTCTCTTTCCTTCCTTCCTTCTCTCCTTCTTTCTTTCTTTCTTTCTTTCTTTCTTTCTTTCTCTCTCTCTCTCTCTCTCTCTCTCTCTCTCTCTCTCTCTCTCTTCTTTCTGTCTGTCTGTCTGTCTTCCCAATTTACCTTATCTGGCCCTGATCTCTGCAGCTTGGCTACAAAGGGAGTTTTGTGGCCATAACAGGGAAAAGGTCGGCAGCCACCTGAGAGGCTTGAGGACCTCACATGGGCTCTCATACATTCACTGTCCCCTTGGCACTCATCACGATAATTACACAACAGATACATGTATCAGATGACCTTCATGGGCCTTACATTTCCTCAACCACCTCTCAGAGTAGGTAGGGGAAGGATTCTTATTTTTACTCAACAGATAAGGAAATTTAAGTCTAGACCAGCTCAATCCCATGATCTCCCTGAGCCACCTAGTTCAACTCCCTCATTTTATAGAGTAGGAAACAGAGGCCCAGGGAGGGGAAGGGACTTATCCAAGGTAACACATAGAATCGTACACCTAGAACTAAAAAGAATCTCAGAGGTCATTTAATCCAATTCTTTCATTTTATAGAGGAGGAAACTGAGGCCCCAAAGAAGCTATAGAATTTACCCAAGGACACATAACACTTTATTCTATATCTCTCTAGGGCTCTAGGTGGCGCTGCAGTAGATAGAGTGCTGGGCCTAGAGTCAGGAAGACCTGGGTTTAAATCTGGCCTCAGAAACTCCCTAGTTGTGTGACCTGCAATGAGGTCATGTCACCCTGTTTGCCTCAGTTTCCTCATCTGTAAAATGATCTAGAGAAAGAAATAGCAAACTGATCCAGTATCTTTGCCAAGGAAACCCCAAATGGGGTTAAGAAGAGTCAGACATGACTGAAATATGACTGAACACCACGATCACCTCTCTATTGTACTTATCATGTAATATTCTACATGATTGTTATCCTTGCGTCTTAGCCTCCTGCTAGGCTTTCTCATTTACATTCCATTAAGACAGAGATCTGGTCTTACATGACCTTCTATGTCCCCTAGGGCCTGCATGCAATAGGTGCTTTAATAAATGCTTGCTGCCTGAGCATTTGCTATTCAAACATAGCCCTCTTGTTCTTACATGGGGCAAAACCAGGCCTCTGACATTTCCCTTATAGAGAGAGGCCTGAATGCTTTCCTCATCTCTTTCCCCAGCTGCTAGTCCTTGACTCCATTAAATATTCTCAGTATTTACTCCACATACATCTTGTACTGACTTACTTGTTTAAGGTAATAACTAGTATTTATATAATGTTTTAAGGTTTGTAAGGCATTTTACATATGTTATCTCATTTGATCCTCACAACAATACCAGGTGATGTGTGCTATTATTATTCCCATGTTACAGATGAAGAAATTGAGGCAAACAGACGGTAAGTGACTTGCCCAGAGTCACACAGACAGTAAATATCTGAGGCAGGATTTGAACTCAGGCCTTCCTGATTCCTGGCCTAGCACTCTAAAGGCTGTCTCTGTAGACAGGCAATGCCTCACACACAATAGGTACACAAGAAATGCTTGTTAACTGACTGACTGAATCAAGGACCCCTCAACCAGAGGATGTCCACTATGGAAAGGAGCCAATGGAATTACCCAGATGGTAATCCTGGCATTTATCTTGTGTGTACCTAGTTAGGTCTAAATTGTCATCCCCATTGGAATGCAAACTCCTTGAGGGCAGCACCGGTTTCTTTTTGGTCCCCATATTCCTAGGGCCTAGCCCAGTGTGGGGCAAACTCCAAGTGTTTAATAAATGCTTGGCGTGATTACAATAGAGCTTGGCTGCAATACCAAATTCTCCTTAAAAGGACCAACTCAGGTTGGGATTTGCTGGAAGTTTAGGTTTGTAGAGCTCAGAGCATACAATGTCCTTCCATTTAATGAGATAAGGATCACAGGACTGAGCACCAGAAAGGCACTTCGAGATTTCATGTGAAGCCCTCGTTCTGCAGCTAACTGGAGCCTAGACAGATTAACTGAGGTCCCACAGGCACTAAGTGTTAGAGGTAAGAGGCCAGGGTAAGGTGTGACCTGGAAATGCTCTAAAAAGAGCATTTGTAAAGTGAAGATTCTGGTACTTAGCCCCCAGCAAAACGAGCCCAGGACAGGAGTTTCACACTTGAGAACTCCCTAACAGAGGCTACGCAAACATGGCCTCCTTTGCATAATCTGCTGCCTTGGTGGGCCGCACCTGAGGCTGGCAGGATGGCATTCCCATTCTTCAGCCAGGTGATGCCAGGCGTCGGGGTCCCGCCCACTTTACACTGTAGCACAATTTTGCCACTGCTGTTCACATCCAGATCTGTGAGGTTCTCTATGACATAAGGGGGCAACTTTTTCTGCAAAGAGAAGGAACAAGCATGTGTTATTGTTATTGTTATATTATTATTGCTATTATTGGGGCAAGTGGGTGGCTCAAAGCGCTTGGAATCAGGAAGACCTGATTTCAAATTTGGCTTCAGACACCTACTAGTTGTGTGACCCCAGGCAAGTCACTTTAACCTCCATCTGCCTCAGTTTTCCCAACTGTAAAACAGATAATAATAGCACCTACCTCCCAGGGTTGTTGTAAGGATCAAATGAGATGATAATTTTTTTTTTTTGGCGAGGCAATTGGGATTAAGTGACTTGCCCAGGGTCACACAGCTAGTAAGTGGCAACTGTCTGGTCCTGACTCCAAGGCCAGTGCTCTATCTACTGCACCACCTAGCTGCCCCTGAGATGATAATTGTAAAGCGCTGAGCCCCAGTACCTGGCATGTACTGGGTGCTATATAAATCTTGGGCTATTTTAAATTATGATTATTAACAGTAATAATTAATAACAATAGCAACTAGCACATATATCGTTTTAAAGTTTGCAAAACACTGTATGAATATTATCTCCTTTTATTCTTGCATATTATCCCTATTTTACAGTTGAGGAAACTGAGGCAGACAGTGGTGAAGTGACTTACCCAGGGTCACACAGCTAGTGAGTGTAAGAGGCCACATTTTCAGGCCTTCTAAGCCCAGCTCTCTGTTACTGTGGTGCCTCCTAACTGCTGACATTAGAGATATCCTCCTATCCGCCCTCATCCTTAGACCCAGGCTGTCTTTGCCATTTGCTCTCATAGGCTTATTCAGGCAGAGGCTTGTGTAATCCACAGCTGGAAGGGACTTCAGAGGCTTCAGTTTAGTTCAACCCCCTCATTTGACAGAAGAAGAAACTGAGGCCCAGAGAGGGGCAGGGACTCCAGGGCCTTATGTAGAATCATAGGTCTAGAGCTGGGAGGGCTTCCGAGGCTGTCTAGTCCAATCCACTAACTTTAAAGATGAGGAAGTCAAGACCCAAAGGGATGTGGCAACTGCCCAGGGTTATAGAACTGACAAGTAACAGAATTGGAATCGAAACTCAGTTCCTGTGACTTGGCTATGAGTCCAATGACCAGGGCTCTATTACCTGGAGAGGGAAGTGGTGGTCTTTAATCAGTTTTAAATTAATAGCTGGACTCCAAATCATTTGCCAACATTTGGGTCTTCTGAGAAATCTACCCTCAGCCACTGTGGCTGGCAACTGACGACTATGTGTCTACTAATACTAGAGTAAAAGGGTAGGTAGCGTTGTTCAACAGTTGGTGTCTAAGCTTAAGAAAATAATAATAATAATAATTAATAATAATAATAGCTGGCATTTATATAACACCTTAAGGTTTACAAAACACTGTATATGTATACACACACATACATACATATATACATATATTTGAATCTTTACAATAACCCTGAGGTAGCTATTATTATTATTATTAAATTAGATTATTATATAAACTGTTATATTAATATAATATTAAATTACAATGGGAGTTTCTTGAGAGCAAGAACTTATAATTTTCTATTTGTGTCCCTAGAACTTTGCATGTAGTAAAAGCTTAATAAATTTATTTATTCATCATCTCCATTTTACAGATGAAGAAACTGAGTTTTGAAGAGGGGAAGTCACTGCTAAACTAGTAAGTGTGTGAGACAGGATTCAAACACAGGTCTTCCTGACCCCACATCCAGGGGGGTCCTTAAAGCTTATATAGTCCTCCCCCTACCCCACCAGCCCATTTTACAGATGAGGGCACTAAATTCCAAAAAGACTGTGAGTTGCCAAGATTAAAGAGCTAGTCACTGGCTGGGCCAGAACTCAAAGTCAGGTCCCGGGGCAGCTAGGTGGCGCAATGGATAGAGCACCAGCCCTGAAGTCAGGAGGACTTGAGTTCAAATCTGGCCTCAGATCAAACACTTGACACTTACTAGCTGTGTGACCTTGGGCAAGTCACTTAACCCCAATTGCCTTAAAAAATAACAAGAACAACAAAAAGCAAGCAAACAAAACAAACAAAAAAAACCAAAGCACAGTCAGGTCCCCTGATTCCTGATCCCAGGTTCTCCTTGGGGCAGGCTGCCAGGGGGCAGAGTTGCACTGGGCTCTTACCTCTGGTAAAGAGTCTAGCAGTCCTTTCCAGCACGGCCGTGGTATTCCTCTGGTACCAGGCCTTGCACTTGTACTGTCCTTCTTGCTGGCGGGACACGTTTCGAATTGTCAGAGTCAAGGAAATAGAGTATTTGTTCACTCGCTTCTCGGTGGATGAGGTAGGAACCTTTTCTCCAAATGGATTGAACCAAGCTAGGCTGTCGTAGACATATCTGGCTGCTCTGCAGGTGAGCTGTGTGTCGTGGCCCTCAATTGCCAAGACCTGAGGTCGGGTTTCCACATGCCCTGGTACATCTGGGAGGAAGTCAGAACATTACTGTTGGTGACCAGAACCTGTCCCTGAACAATAATCCCTCCACCGATGGTCCCAATTTGATGACCCCCACCAATGAAGGAGAACTCACTACCTCCCTAGGTAGCCCATTATAGTTTTTCTTGATATTAAGCCTTAATTGGCCTCCTCAGGCCTTCCACCCATTAATCTCACATCTGCCTTCAGGGGGCCGAGCAGAGGACATAGGAGCTCTCTTCCACATGACAATCCTTCAAAGGTTTGAAGATAGCTATCGTGTCTTTTCTTCCACAGGTGAAATGCCCCTAAGTTCCTTCAAGGAATCCTTACATGGCACCAACTAAAGGGCTTTAACATCCTGGTTATCCTGCCCTGGACCCTTCCTAAAATGTGGCCCCCACAGCTAATAGAAGAAATGATTTTCCCAAGGCGACACAGTGAGCTTGTGGAAGGGCATGGCGTACAACCCGGGTTTCCCAAATCCCAGTTTGGTCTCTTTATTGCCCTCCCTACACTGTCTCTTGTTTGCTTTTCCGTATTCTGGAGGTGAGGCCTGGTAAGGAAGGGCAGGTGGGACAGGTGTTCAGTGGAAGAGACCTTCAACTGGGCTTTCAGTGGCTGACTTTAGGTGGATACAGCTTGTGGCAAATACCCTGCTTGGCCAATGAATGGAATAAAGACAGTGGGTGGGTGCTGGTGACTGTTTAACAACCAACTCCATACACTTGTCAGTCGAATTTTCATTATTAACATTTCCCCCATTACTTTCTTAAGTCTAGACAATCACCAAAACCATCAGTGAAGCCCTAATGTGTGTTGATTTCTGAGGTATAAATGCTCACAGTGAAAATTTAACAATCAGCTGACAGGTCCTCCCTTCTACCTCTAACCCTTCAGATGCCATGAGCCCGAAGGTGATTGATCACCTGAAGCTTTGGGCATTAACTTTGATGAGTAAGGCTAGAGACTGCCAAAGGGGAAAGGGTGCTTTCTCAGGGAGCTCTGCCAAGCCATCACAGCTGGGCCAGGCTGTGAGGACATACACGAGTGCACACATAGTTGTGCTTGAGTCAAGAGTGGCTCCAAATGCCTTTGGGGAGGCATTAATTGGGGAGGGACAAACGGTGGGCTAATTTTGGGGGTTTTGTTCATTTGTTTTTAAATAGAGGTGAGGAGTCAGAATCAAAGATTTCTCCCTCAAATGATAGTAACCTCAAAGGCACTTATTAATTGATGCATCCATAGTAACCGCTACCTAGTATTTATACTGCACCCAAAAGTTTGCAAAGTACGTTACAAATATGATTGCATTTGGTCCTTACAACAACCACGGGAGGCAGGTGCTGCTATGATCCGTATTTAACAGATGAAGAAACTGAGGCAGGCAGTGGTGACATGACTTGCCCCAGGGTCACACAGCTAGGAAGAACTGGAGGCAGAATCTGAACTCAGGTCTTCCAGACTCCAGGTACTGCACTCAATTTAATTAAGCTGCTTACACGAGTGGAGTGAAGATGATGACGATGATGTAAACTAGGCAGCCAGCACCATTTCTTAGAGCTGCCTATAGACTCCCCCTCCTCCTCTCCAGGTTGGCTTGATTTTTCATTCTGCCAATATTTATCTCGATCGTGAACTATCGCATCCAGCAATGCAAGACCCAGCTGCTGTATTTGATCATTGGCATTGACAGGCTCCAGAATCGATGCTGGCTTTCTCTAATCGTCTCAACTCCCAAACAGTGCGGTTTTCAGTTAAGGATTCACATAGCCCACACTCAGATTGGCAGAGTTGATGGAACCAGCTGGGGTGTGTTGTATTGCCACAGCAGGGCCACTGGGCCTTGATACAGGAGCTGCCAATAATCTTGGTGAGAGTGCCAACCTTGCTCTCCCAAATACGGGGCCAGCTTCGATGTAAATAGAATCCATTAGCCCAAGCCTCAAAAAGCATCAGAGATGAAGAACTAGAGGAGGAGGTAAGCATACAGTGACTTTTAAAGCAAAGGTCAGCTAGAAAGTACCTTCTGTTCTATATGTGATGGTACTCCAGTACTACAAAGGCTGCCTAGTAAATCCCCGCCAGAGGCATATGGATAGCATGGAACATCTCATGAATTGGGAGATAAAAACCAGAGGCCCTGGGCAATTTTCTGTGCCATGCCCCTCCCTCATGCCATCTTCCCCAGAGAAGCTGGGACCCTGCCCAGAGCATTCATGAGGCCAATAACCACCACTGGGGAAGGGATGCACCCAGGTGCACAGCAAAGAGGGATTGTGAAAGGCAACTGAGGGCCTCTGGGTATGGAAGACTCCTGTTCACCTCCTCTAAGCTACAACTGACAAATCACTAGGCCGGCTGAGATGGCTCACAATAGCTTTGCCTCTATGAACTGGGGAAATCTTCCTTAAGGGCATGGGGCTTAACCCCTGTTTCATATCACTTGCCATAAAAAAGAAACATAATAGTAACTCAGACAAGGTCAGTGACAAAGCCAATATTAAGCACGTGCTTCTGATTACAGGTAAAGTGTGTGTGTGGGGGGGGTATGTAGTGGGGAGGGAAGGGGATGGTTGGAACAATGCAATACTCACTATGTATGTGTTCCTAAAAGATGCAGGCACAAAGGGAGCCCTTCAAAAGAAGTGGCTTTTGCCTGTCGATCAGAAACACATTCCATCTCCAGGGGTGTGGGTCACATGGCCTGTTTCTTCCCAAGCACAGGGCTCTGGGGATGGAAGAGTTGCCATGTTTATGCCCTTCTTTTCCACTCCAGGGTTTTTGTGATCCCAAGATACGAGGTAGGATCACAGGGTCTAGGGCTGGAAGGGACCTTGGAGGCCATTTAATCCAACCCCCTCATTTTACAGAGGGGGAAACTGAGGCCCAGGAAGGGGAAAAGACTCACCTTGGGTCACACAGACAGTAAACAGAGGCAGGATTTGAACCTGGTCCCTCCAAAGTCAGGGCTCTTTTTGCTACTCATTTTGATTTGAAAAGGAGGAGGGTGACAACTGCCCTGCCTTGCCCTGAATTAGGCAGAGAAGCCCCTACTCCCTGGACCCCATGGGCTGAAAGGGAACCTGAAAGGTCATAGAACCCACACTGGATGCAGTCTACCCAGATGGGCACATGCCCACCTCTGCTAAGCCCACCTGCTCATTCCCATGCTGGGACCCCAGAGTCACAAGCACAAGAAAGAGCCCTACCAACAGAGCCTACTTGGGCTGGGGCCGGGGCTTGGGCTCAGGGGCCACCTCAGGTCCTGAACTGTTAGCCACAGGCCCTCTATCTCACTGGTCTGCAGTGCAATTCCCCCATCCCAGGCCCAGCCCAAAGAAGCTGCCCTGGGTCTTCATCACTTGGGCTTCCTCTCCTCTGTTCCAAGACTAGGCCGTGCAGTCTTACCCGATGAGCAGTCAACAGAGGAAAGCAGAAAGGAAGGCTGACTCCATTTGTATTTACAAGGAAATAATTGGTTTTCATTTCCTGGGCTTTGCTTGGAGATTGCCTTAATTGAAAACTTCTGTCCCCTCCAGATTTCTGCCTCCGACCATGTCAGGACAGCCCTGTTAACTCTTGGCCAGACAGGGAGATGGGCTGAGATGACACAGACTCTATGTGCCCTGCAAACATGTCAAGAGTATGCAAAGAGATGGAAGCAACTTTTGTATAAATTGGATATCCATGAAGTGTCAAGGGATGGGGGGTGGGGGGAGAATGGGGCCACCTTCTCAGCCAACGCCTGGAAAGGAATTAGATGAAAACCAGTTTTCTTTCCTCTCTTCCCCCTTGCCCGTGGGCCTGTACTAAGAGGGTCCCTGCTGGCCATACTTCAGATGGAAGATCCGGGTTAAGTCTGATGGTAAGCACTGGGGAGCTGACAACAGGAAACCCATATGGACCATGTCACTCAGTCTTGGGGGGCCCCATCTGGAGATGAAGACAAGGGGAACGAATGAGGTAATGCCTTTTAGGCTTTCCACAGCAGACCTTGGTTAGCCCCGGGAAGAACAGGCAACCCCAGTGACTGGCTGGCAAGTGTAGGTCAGGCTAGACTCTGCCACCATGGAGAAATGCTGCAGAACCAGAATTCCTTTAGAATATGCTTCTTGACAACAGAGACCAACCAATTGTTCTTGTTCAGTTGTGTCTGACTCTTCAGGACCCCATTTGGGGTCATTTGTATCCCCACCCCCTGACACACAGTAGAAGCTAGGAATAGGCATAGGGATTGAATCGCGGTAGAGCTACCGAAGTGGTTTGCCATTTCCTTCACTGCATTTTCCAGATGAGGAAACTGAGGCAAACAGGGCTAAGTGACTTGCCCAGGGTCACACAGCTAGTGTCTGAGGCCGGTTTTGAACTCAGGCCTTCCTGACTCCAGGCCTGGCGCTCTATCTACTGCCCCACCTAGCTGTACCTATTTATATATTACATAAATGCATTTATATATCACATGTACCAGGCAGTGTGCTAAGCCCTTTACAAATATGACCTTATTTGATCCTCATAATAACCTTGAGGGGTAGGTGCATATTGTGCCTATTATAACAGGTACTATATGCTATTATTCCCCATTTTACAGTTGAAGAAACTGAGGCAGAGAGCAGTTAAATGATTTGCTCAGAGTCATATAGCTAGGAGGTGTCTGAGGCTGGATTTGAACTCAGGTTTTCCTGACTCCGGGTGCCATGCTCTGTGCTACCATCTGCCTCGATGATGGGTTGGGAGTCAGAGGCCCTGCGTTTGAGTCCCAGCTATGTCCCTTTCCCTCCCTGGGCCTCAGTTTCCTCCTCTGTCAAATAGGGGTTGGACCCCATGGCCTCTGAGGTCTCTTCCAAGTCTATATCTAGGATCTCGTATTAGGGAAGTGCCTTCCCCTCCCAGGGCTTCAGTTTTCCTCCCCCATAAAATGGACAGGTGGGACTAGTTGCTTCCAGGTCTTGTCACCTTAATGGGCCTCTGTTTCTAGACAGGCCTGAGCACTCTTCCCTTCAGCCTCGGCCTCAGACTCGGCAGTGTGGGTCAGTAGGTAGAGGAGGGTAAGAGGTAGGGGCAGGAGGCACATGTGCCCCAGGAGCAACCGTGGTCTTTATAAACTTTGCTGGAGGATTCAGCAGCCCCTTGGAGATCCTCTCGGCCTTCCCTCCAAAACCCCCCACCCATACCCTGTTCTCTCTGAGCCTTGTCTCCCTCTGCAGGGCCACGGAGGACCAGCCTTGGCCTAGGCTCACAGCCACTTGGCTCCAAGCATGTGATGAGATGCTGGGAGGAGCAGGAAAAGGTGGTCACTGGCCCCCAAGAAAAGATCCAGCATTGGATGAAGGTAGAACGTGACTGTGAGGCTCTTCTAAAAAGCTCAACTCCATAGCCTCTGAGGACCGAGCTGGAACAGACCTTCAGTTTCCTCATCTGTCAAATGGGAATAAGAATCCCTCTCCTGCTTGCCTCGAGAGATGACTGGGAAGATCAAGTGACCTAAGGCATATAAAGGGCATTGTATACTGGGCCACAAGCTCGGGTTCCTGATAGGCCCCAAGGGGACTGTGAATACTGGGATACCGAAACTCCATCCTTGTCCACCTCTCTGGAGTGCCTCCTCTGACCTTGGATAAGTCGGTCAACTTGTTGGGCCTCAGTTTCCTCAAGTGTGAAATGAAGTGCCTCTAACTCTCAAGATCTGGGCCTAGTCCCAGATGGAGCAACTGCAGCCCATTTCCATCTGGATCCTAACGACCATAGCTAGGGGCAGGGGCAGCAGGCAGCTGGGGGGCAGCACTCTAGGGGCTGGGCCCAGGGCCAGGGGGTGGGATTGTACAACCACGGAGGCTTTCCTAATACTCCTCCTGGAAAAACATCTTTTCTAGGCCATAAAATATCACTCAACAGGGCCTGTGATGATTCATTTTGTGATAAGCCAAGTCACACATATCTAGTCCCAGGGAATAATGTCTCCTTCTCAGGCATACCCAGAAGAAGGAACGTGAGCTTTAGCGGGAATTAGAGGCTTTTCAGATTTAGGGCCTGGAGGGATTTCAGGGGGTCAACGAATCCAACATTCTCAGTTTCCACATAAAGCAAGTGAGGCCCAGAGGAGAGAAGCAATGTATTTTCAGACCTTCATAAAGTGACAGAGCAGGACTTGAACCCAAATTTTCTTGATCAAAACCTGCCCCTATTTTCTATGTTCCTTTTAGAACGGCAGCCAACAAGACATGGTACAGGGGCCTCAGAGTTGGGAGACTTCTCAATGCTTCCCAGTAGACCAGGCGCTGCTCTACATTGAAGGAAGGAGACCCCACACTGGGAATTCCTGACTATATTGGAATCTCAGGTGCAGGTGGTCCTTGTTCCTACTCTCCCCCCTCCAAAAAAAAGAAGAATCCAAAATGAGCACAAATCTTTCTGTGAATCATAGCTTAAGTTCTCCATGTTCTTCTGTACTTGGCCTTTTTCTGTTTTCTGTTTTCTTTTCAAACTGCTCATGACAGACCAGTGGATCACTCAATGTGCAATAACACTGACCATGTAGTTGTGGCAGACCATGTGATCACTAGATACATCAGGATGTGAGCTTTTCAAGGACAAGGCCAATTTTCTCTTTGTGTCCCCATCCTCTGACACACAGTAGAGGCTAGAAATAGGCATAGGGATCGAATCTGTGATTTCATTGATAGAAGGAACTCCTAGATGAGAGTACTCCTTCAGGGACAGCTAGGTGGTGTAGTGGATAGAGCACTGGCCCTGTAGTCCTGAGTTCAAATCTGGTCTTGGACACTTCCGCTGTGCGACCATGGGCAAGTAACTTAACCTCGATTGCCTTAAAAAAAAAAGAGCACTCCTACCAATTCAGGGCAGCACCTTCTCTTCAACTTGGTGTCTTAGAGACCTGCCCAGAGCACTAAGAGGTTCAGTGACCTGCCCAGGGTCACCCAGCCAGGAAGAGTCAGGGCTTCTGGCTCTCAGGCCAGCTCTCCATCCATTCTGCATTCTCACTGAGTGACATGATCCAGGTAGCATGGAAAAGAGCACTGGATTTTGACACAGAGGACCTGGGTTCAAGTTTTAACTTTGTCACTTACTTACTGAAGGTCATGAAATAAATTACTGTGGCATAGAGTAAGTACTTAAGTAATGCTGTTGAGTGTAAGTGAATTGAATGTGATCCCACTGAATGATGCCATGGAATCATCGAATGCCATTTGTCAATGCACAGCTACCTGCTGAGGCAAGATGGATTGAACTTGCTCACTGGCCTGTACAAAAGGAATTAAGACTCCCAAAACTGCAGCTCTCTCCTGAGCTCTGGCCCCATGTTCCCATCTGCCTGCTAGACATCTCCCCCCGGATGGCCCAGCAGCATCTCAACGTCAGTCTGGCCCAACGTTCCTCCGAGGCCCAGCCACTTGTCACCGTTTTCCCATGTTTGGTATGTTAGTGTGACCTTCAGCTCTCCCCTCTTCCTCATTTCTCCCAGCCAATCAGTTACCACGTCCAGTCAATCCCACCCTCACAACATCTCTCAAATCTGTCCCTTCTCTTTTGTCCCTCTTTATTCCCTAGGCCTCAATTTTCTTATCTGCAAGAGGCCTAGATGGCCTCTGAGGGCCACATCTTGGATCCCATGCTCCTCTCTGACCCCTCCTTTCTTCTTCTGGAGGTGTTCATATTTGTAGCTCTTGCCTCCCAGGCTTGTGTTGAAGATGGCGCTTTTTATATGGTAGAGCCAACGGGGCTTCCCATAACACTTCCTCGGACCTGCAACCTCAGAGTATTCTTGTCTCCCCTCATGGCTAACCCTGATGCTAGACCCCTGAAGCTCACCTGCCACTCGGAGGCCCCTCCCGTGGCCCTGTGACCTCTGTGGGCGGTGGATGGATCCCTGCTGGTGGGGCATCTCCTTCCCTGGAAGGACTTAGCAAGAGTCACTGGCAGGCTTGGGAGTTTCGCTGTTCACTCTTTCTTCAGCATCATTTATAAAAATGTTAAGTAAGACCAGTCCCCTCCTAATCCCTGCAGGATCCCACTATTTACACTTCTCAATGGAGAGAAGGATCTGTTTATCCCTTCCCTGTGTCTCTTTCTTCAGGCCAGTTCTCTGTCCGTAACAAAACATTCCTTCAATCCCCTGGTGAATCCACTTTTTAAAATAGCTTTTGGTACAGAACCTTAACAAAGGCTTCTTGGCACACTCCTGCCCTCTCAAATAAACTGTTATCTACCAGTTCTTCCTTATCTCTGCACTTACTTACTCTTGACTAATTCTGATAGATTAGTCAGGCATGATTTCTTCGGTAATTGATTAGATGTGAGAGGCATATTCCTCTCCTCCTGGAAAATGGAACTCTCTGTTCTAGGAAATGGTCATTGAGTCCTAGCCAACAACCCTAAAACACCCTGGCCTCCTCCAGGTGGCCAAGCTCAAAGTTCCCGAGGCCCCACAATTATCACCTGGCCTTGCCTGGGCCCTTTGCCAGGCTACTTTGTCACTTCAATCTCACCATCCCAAGCAGCTTACCCCCAGTATGGCAACCTTATTATTTAAGCATTGAATTCCTACACACTTCCTTTTCTACTCTCTAGAAATGTTTTATAGTCCAAGAGAGGATTGATCAGAGCATCACAGAATATTGAAGCTAATGACCAGAACACAGAATGGCAGAATTGGGAGGCATTTTAGGACAGGGAATGTCAGACCTGGAAGAACATCATAGAATGCGACCCTAAAAGATGTACACCGGAACAGAGAACATCAGAGCTTGAAGGGACCTTAGAATAGGTACCTACTGGGGCAGCTAGGTGGTGCAGTAGATAGAACATCCGCCCTGGAGTCAGGAGGACCTGAGTTCAAATCCAGTCTCAGACCAGACACTTGATACTTACTAGCTGTGTGACCCTGGGCAAGTCACTTAACCGCAATTGCCTAAAAAAAAAAAAAACACGTACCTACCTTACCTACCTCCCAGGGTCATCATAAGGAGAAAATCTGATAACCTGTGTTAAAAGCTTTGTTTACACTTTGAGGACCCAGCCATATAGTTCTTAAGAACCAATCCTTCCAAAGGTACTTATAGCTGATCATGGCTTACTGGGCCACATTTCTATTTTAACTAGGGGCTCCTGGGGATAAAATGCCTTTAATCTAAGAGCTCCATAAGAGGCAAAGAATTTTATAATTATAATATATTTAGAAGGACACAAGTCTGAGACTAGGATCTGCTCTCATGTTTCACCTTGTTGTGTGACCTTGAACAAGTCACCACCTCATTAGGCCAATAAAATGTCCTCTGGGGTCCTTCCCTTCCAACTTGGAAATCTGTACCCTCTGTCATTCTCTCTGTGGTACAATTTCAGCTGATGCAATGCAATCCCACTGCAGAGGCGGCAGCCCATTCTCCTCTGCCTGGCACACACCCCAAGTCCCATTTTTTATTTACCTGAGACGTAGACCTTCATAACTCTCTCGTCCCTGCCAACCTTGTTGTAAGCAGTGCAGAAGTAAACACCAGAGCTCGTGCTAGAAGTGATGGTGAGCATACTCAGGGTCTGAGGAGGAAGGGGAGAAAAAGCAAGCTGCAGTTAGGACCATGGCTTTGACCACAGGCTATGGGAATGACATACAGTCTCTCGGGATGGGACTGGGTGTCAATAATGGTCTTGATGGTGATGAGGGGAATCCAACAATGAATGAGACATGATGCCTGCCCTCAAGAAGCTTACAGTTCAGTAGACGTGAGACCCTCACATAGTGCTCTGAATTGTAGCTACTTATCTTGAGTTCAGATAAGAGATCATTTTCAGCAGGGCATTCAAGGAGGTGAATAATTCCCATAATTCCATAAAAGTTTGTTATCTGAGCTAGCTGTCAGTCAATCAGTCATCGGTCAAGCATCTATTAAACACCTACTAAGTACCAAGTACTCAGAAGCCCAGTTTAGGACTGCCTACCTTTTCCTGTGATGGCCAAACTTTTTTGATCATTTACTTCATTAGTAAAATGTTTTTGAATACATGCCTCCAGCTTATATATATTTACTTATTTATAAATCATATGTATACTACTATTTTAACCATCATGGACATACTAAAATCACATAAATAATAAAACATTTTAAAGGTCAAGATAAAGATGAAATACCATTGGGTCCCAGAGGCAATGGGTAAACCATTTTGGTGATTTTGGAGGATGGACTGGAGTGGGAAGAGACTTGAGGCAGGCAGACCCCCTCCCCCAGCAGGCTATTCCAATAGTCCAGTGTGAGGTGATGAGAGCCTGCACCAGAGTGGGGACAGTGTCAGGGGAGAGAAAGGAACATATTGGAAAGATGTCAAAAAGGTGAAATCAATAGGCCTTAGCAAAAGATCAGATGTAGAGGTGGTGTGCATGTGGAATCCAGGATGACATGGCAGTTGTGAACTTGGGGGCCTGGAAAGACAGTGAAGGCCTCAACAGAAATGGAGAGCTTTGGATGATCATGGCCCACATGGCCTGTTTAACCTACGAGACTCACTTGGTCCCACTCAAAATGAAAAAGGGCTAAGGTAGCATTCTTACTCACTGCTGACTGCTCCGGAGAGCCTAGTTGAGGGGCCCCTGCTACAGCCATGAAGCCATCTTGGGGAGTAGGCAGTGAAGACAAGGGGTGGGGTCCTGTGACTTCAAATTCAGGACTTTTCCTCTTGGGTCTCACTTTCTTCTTTTGTTAAATGAGGGAATTAAATGAGGTGTTCTCTTTACTCCCTTTAGCTCTAACATTCAGTATTCTTTATTCTAAGGCCTTGGGGCAGCTAGGTGGCACAGTGGATAGAGCATTGGCCTTGGATTCAGGAGGACCTGAGTTCAAATCCGGCCTCAGACACATAACACTTACTAGCTGTGTGACCCTGGGCAAGTCACTTAACCCCACTGCCTAACATAATAATAATAATAATAATAATAATAATAATAATAATAATAATAATAATAATAATAATAATAATGATGATGATGATGATGATGATGATAATAATAATAATAATAATAATATTCTAAGGCCTCTTCCAGTTCTAACATCTTCTATGCTAAGTTCTAGGGCCCCATCCAGCACCGTCATCCTGGATCCTATGTTCTAAGGTCCCATCTAGTGCTACTGTCCTGATCCTACGTTCTAGGGCCCTCTTCTAGTTCTAACATCCAGATAACAGCAGATACACCACAAACTGGCCTAGGCAAACAGTATCCCAGAATGCTTCAAAACAACTGACAGATACAATTGTTGAGTGGCACATTCATGCCATCAGAACTCCTGAAAAACGTCTGGAGAACAAGCGGGTTAGATACTGCCTAAAGAAGGGCCCACTGGGCCAGATTTTCCAAAGAAGGAATAAGGTGAGTTCTTCGAACTGAGTTGCTGAGCTGGCAACACACCAGACTGTTTTATTAAAAGGGATGGTCTGTGAGCATCTTGAAAGGGGAGCTGTGATTACTAAGCTCCGACACGAACAGGTCATGCTAGACCAACTTCATTTCCTAGACTGGCGGCTCCAGGGGATAACACAGCATACCTGGACTTAAGCAAAGCATTTGACAGAGGCGCTCCTGCTCTCCTTATGAACAGGGGAGAGACAGAGACAGAGAGAGAGAGAGAGACAGACACAGAAAGAGAGAGAGGAGAGAGAGAGAGAGAGAGAGAGAGAGAGAGAGAGAGAGAGAGAGAGTGAGCGAGCCATGTGGTAGGTAATGCCACAGTTTGGGTCCGTTCATTCAGCCAGTTTAGAATCTACCTAAAAGTAATACACACACACACACACACACACACACATCTATAGATACCTATACATCTATCTCTATATACACCTAAAAGTAATACATACAGTATATATAATAGCACATTATATATTAATATATTACATTATATATTAATAGCATACTCTATATTATCAATTATTTGGATGAAGGCATAGACGGCATGCTAATCACATTTGCAGAACACACAAAAATTGAGAAGGATCACTAGTAACACACTGAATGATAAAATTTGGATCCAAAATCATTCTCATAGGCAAATCTAATGGGCTGACGCTATTAATATGAATTTTAAAAGGGACAAAAGTGATGCTCTGCCCTTAGATTAAAAACTCAACTTCCCAAATACAGGATGGTTCATATGGAAAAAGATCTGGGGGTCTCAGTGGACTGCAAGCTCAGTATGATTCAACAGTGTGATGTGGCAGCACCAAAAGCTAACTCAACCATAGGCTATGATGTAAACACATACTGCCTTCTACTCAAATGCTCCCTTAGTGCTACATGGCGGACTGGCTTCTTGAAGGCTCTGCCAGTAGAATTCAAACTCTGGAAGTCCAACCAAGATGGATAGAGTGAGCTGTCAATGGCCTGTATGTCAATTATCCAGTTCAGAAAGGCTCATCATCAGGTGAGTTGTAACGTGATGTCTGTACAGTTGCAGAGAGAGTCACTGCTAGACTGGGAGCAGATCCACCCAAGATGAGAAGTGGCTGTGAGACCCTGGCCAAGTCACTTCATCTCTCTCCAGCTCATCAGTAAGATGAAGATGAGTCAGTCACTCAATGAGCATTTATTAAGCACCTACTAGGTGCCAGACACTGTGCCAAGTGTTAGGGATACAAAAAGAGGCAAAGTACAGTCTCTGCCCTCAAGGAGCTCACAGTTTAATGGGGGACACAACATGCAAACAAATCTATCCAAAGCAAGCTCTATGCAAGATCATAAGGAAATATTGACCAGAGGGAAGGCACTGAAATGAAGAGGGCTTGGTGAGGGCTGCCTGTAGGAGGTGGGGTTTTAGGTGAGATTTAAGGAAGCCAGGGAGGTCAGTGGTCAGGGCCAAGGAGGGGGAGCATTGGGGAACGGCCAGAGAGAATGCCCAGAGCAGAGAGATAGAGGGTCTTCTTGGTGGAACAGCCAGGTGGCCGGGATCACCGGACCAAAAAGTACATGGAGGGGAGTAAGGGGTAAGAAGACTGGGAAGGTAGGAGGGGGCTGAGTCATGAAGGGCTTTGAGCACCAAACAGAGCATTTTGTACTTGACCCTGGAGGTAATAGGGAGCCATTGGAGTTTGATTTCCAGGAGAGTGACATGGTCAGAACTGCACTTTAGGAAAGTCACTGCTGGCTGAATGCAGGGCAGATTGGAGTGGGGAGAGACCTGAGGCAGGCAGACCCTCTAGCAGCTATTGCAATAGTCCAGGCACAAGGAGATAAGAGTCTGCACCAGGGTGGGGGCAGTGTCGGAGGAGAGAAGGGGGCTTACTGGAGGTAGAATTGACAGCCCTTGTCACCATATTGAATATGGGGGTGCAGGTAAGAGACAGTGAGAAGTCCAGAATGGCTCCTAGATTGTGAGCCTGAAGCACTGGGAAGATGGTGGTGACCTCAATGGTAACAGGGAAGGGTAGGGAAGGGCTGAGGAGGAAAGATAATGAGTTAATTGAAGCTGTCTACTGGACATCCAGTTTGAGATGCCTGAAAGGCAGTTGGAGATGGAGACAGAGATGGAGACGGGCGATTGGAGGGCAGCAGAGAGACTGCAGCAGGATGGGTAGATTTCAGAATTAGCTCGTTGTTCGGTCATTTTTTCAGTTGTGTCCAACTCTTTGTAACCCCATTGGGGTTTACATACTGGAGTGGTTTGCCATTTCATTCCCCAGCTCATTTTACAGATGAGGAAACTGAAGCAAAAAGGGTGAAGTGACTTGTCCAGGGTCACACAGCTAGTAAGTGTCTGAGGCCGCATCAGAACTCAGATCTTTCTGACTCCAGGCCCAGTGCTCTATCCCCCTGTCATCAGCCCCAGTGGTACAGTTATGGCTGACTTGTCAGGGGCATAGACCCACTTAATTCCTGATTGGATTTCTAGGTTAGTTTTCCTCATGTCCTTTAAAAAGGGATTGTGGGACACTAGAAAATGACATCGTGCTGTTTGAGCTCCACCTCCTCCAAAGTGTAATTTAGTCTACGTTCAGTGGGTGAAGCCCAGGGAAGCTCCTAGGCCAGGATTATGAAATGTGCCAGCATGGCATGTTAAGGAATGTTAAAGGGTCCCCTAAACTTAGCTTTATGACTTGCCATATTTTCCAGAAACACTGGCAATAGAAAGAGCCCTGATGCTACAGTCAGAGGGCCTGGATTTAAGTCCCAGCTCTGTTAATTACTATCTCTGTGACCATGGGTAAGTTCCTGTCTCTCTTCGGGCCTCCGTTTCCATACCTGTAAAGATTAAAGAGGACCACTTGATCTGAGCAAATCTTCTAGCTCAGGTATTTTAAGTTTAGCATTCTAAGGCAAGATGCATTCCAGGTCCAATATTCTAATTGGTGGAAAGAAAAAAGCATTGAGGTTGGTATCAAGAGTGTCGGAGATGAATCCCTTCCATTAAGGCCCCTCCCATCTCTGGCACTGGGCCTGGATTTAGGAAGGCCTGAGTTCAAATCCAGTCTCAGATACTTACTAGCTGTATTATCCTGAGCTAGTCATGTCACCTCTTTCTGCTTCAGTTTTCTCAACTGTAAAATGTGGATCATAA